TGGGAGAGAATGGTGGGGGCCACTAAGCGATGTCTCTACCGGGTAATCGGGAGTTCAAAGCCTTACCTCAGAGACCTGGAGGTTATTCTGTGCGGTGTGGAGTCAATCATCAACCAGAGACCATTAACTCCGGCGACGATTGATCCGAGCGAGATCAAAGCGCTGTCACCGGCAAATTTGATGTACGGTTATGAGGGGAATACATTTTTTCCGGAAATGTCATTCGAGCCGAAGCATAAGCAGACATAGGAGCGGTTGTGTTCTCCAAACGATGGAGTTTCCAGCAACAAATTCTGACGGATTTCTGGAAGAGATTCCGCACAGAGTACCTGACCCATTTACGATCGGCACACAGCAGGAAGCCGGTGAACCAACGATCATTGAGAGTCGGTGAGATTTGCATTTTAAAGGACGACAAATCCTCCCGCGGTTTCTGGCCGCTGGTGAGAATCCTCAGAATGCACGGAGGTGCCGGATCTGACTCACGTAGGCGCTCGTGCACAATCCTAACTGGTCGCGGACAAACGCTTACCCGACCGATTCAACTACTATACCCGTTAGACGTCGAAGAATTAGAGCCGCTACAGAAATAGCGATTGTTTCTAGACAACCGATCATCAAAACGGCGAGCTCGGAAAAGAAACATGGCGCAACCTCGGAGACTCGATTTCACATATCGTTTTCGAGTTTGTGAGAGAGGAAATCTGCTCACGAGGGCCAGCCCGGCAGGAATGAACGTTCGTTATCGGAGCCTATAGATTTCGGAATTGGGTTCCCGGCCCAATTCGGGGGGGAGTGTCACGAACCCACGTTCGGTGATGCTAGGTATAACGTACGACAGACTTCGGAAAGTATAGGAGCCCACTCAGGGAAACCGTTCGCGGGCTTTCTAGGGGAAGGAGGATACGGTGAGGAGGTTGATATCCACACAGCGCCCTCGGGCCACTAGTCCGGGTCAGAAAGTGTCAGCTCGAGAATCGATTCACGGTCGATTCCGTCAAGCTCTGGTTATTCTAAAATAAAAGTTGCCCCTGGTGTCCACCCCAGTGAAACGAAATAGAAGTCGTTTTCCATCTGATCGTGGCGGGTTGGTAACAACATGTTTATAGCGTATGGTCATAGTCAGCTTGTTGACCCCATCTCTCTCTCAGAGGAATAGGCTATTGGAGCTCGATGGCGGCTTCTTATCAGGTTACTGATCATTTCAGATACGCACTGTTCTGCTTTTCGAACTTTCTACTAAACGCTTGCGTGGACAATCCGTACGTGTACATTCCGGACCACGCCAAGTCGATTCCGTCGGTACAGGAAGGTGCCGGCGCCTTCATCATCTCGGTCCTCGGTGTGCTCAACACGCTGGGTGTGGTTATCGTTGGATATATAGGCGATAAACCGTGGATCGATCCGAGCCTACTCTACGCGATTTGCACGGTGATTGCTGGTGCGAGCGTAGCGGCAATACCCTTGCTCGAATCGTACTTCCCGTTGGCGATAGCGTCAGCAATATACGGTTTCACCATCTCGGCTAATTACACTCTCGTGCCTGAAATCGTCGTGAATCTGATATCATTGGACAATTTCACTGGCGCGTATGGATTATTGCTCATGATCCAAGGTCTCGCTAGCCTCATAGGGCCACCCTTCGCCGGGTGGCTTTACGACATCAGTGGTGAGTCACCTCAGTTGTGATCCGATCCGAGTCCCATAGACCGCGTTCTTCGTTTCGTGCGCCGCATGTGTCAGCTACCTCCGATGCTTACGGCTGCAGCAGCGAGTGACTCTCCATTTCTGATCCCTGTCGATGATCTTGCAGGTTCCTACGACTCCACGTTCTACATCAGTGGGATCAGTATCTTGGCATCCGGTCTCTTGGTGATACCGGTCGCCGATTACTGGACGTGCAGCTGCGACCCGCGGCCTCTCGGGGAAGAGCACATAGATCAGGGCACCGCGCTCGCAGAGCGAGGCGATGAAGCTACCTTCCTCCACGACTCGATGATCCAGACCAACGCCGACGAGGCAAACCAGCCATTTCTAGTCGTCGATCGATACACCATCGATAGGACACCGTTTCGGGAGAGCCCGCTAACGTCGCCTTCGGCTTGCCATTCACCGGCGCGCTCGAACAGTCCCACTAGAGTGAGATTCCGTCTGAGCCCATCGCCAACACCATCCTCGAAAAGTACCGCAGCTACGGCAACCGCGTCATCCGCTGTGTACACCCAACCAGCGACACTGAATTGAACGATACCTGCGACCTGAACTCCGAAAATGTTAAAACAAGGCCCTGTGATATTCATTTCGAATTCTAGTGAGCACATGCATACGCGTGGATTCTCTTGTGAGCACACTTTCTGAGTGAAACACGGAGCAAGCCGTGAGAACGGCAGAACAGAACTGTTCCGTGTTCTCTAGAACCTCGATCATGCACCATAACCCATGGTGGGCGAATAGCGGGATCTAACCGAATCAATTTTGGAACAAGGGTTGCCGAAAGAGATGGGATTGCACTGCAAGCAGCTCAGGTGGAAGTTTCTCTGCCTTCCATCAATTTGAGAGCGAAAGAAAACTCTGGCAGCATCTGTACTTGATGATAACACGACTTTGAGGAGGTAACAGCAAACGAAGTCCAGCTCGGCTTTGTTAGTAACTGAGCGGTGATACATTCGTCCGGGAGGAATACAGTCCCGCTCGATATATATCGATGAGCAAGCGCTAGTAATGTCTGCGCGATTCGTCACGTCCTCCTACTCTCACTTCGAGTCGAGAGATCCCCATTCCTCCGGGAAAGTCGAACTCTCACGGAACGCCAATCGGAACTTTCTCCGCATTTGGATACACAATGATGAGCAAAGATTACTGTCTCCGCTTATTCTCCGTCCCACTCCGAAAATTTCCCCTATGATTGGATTGAAAGGCAAGCAATTATAGCTGAGGATACACGAGAGTGAGCATTGATACGTAGATGAGGCGAGAAAAGCCGGACGCTCCAATCTTTCAATGCTTAAGCTGTCTTGGCAAATGTAAACACGATCCACTCATAAATAATATGTACGAACCACTTAAGAGATCATGTGCATTGATAGCATCGTACGAGAGTCACAAGCTTATCTCTCATCCTGATTGTGATGTTACGTCCCTGCTGGCTCGCGCGGCACCCCGAGAGCAAATAGCCACAATGAGAAACTGCCGTCTCTCGACGCTTATCTGGATGTCTCATACGGGGCGAGGTGATTCTCGAGAAAGCGGAAGGCGGAGCTAATTTTGCTCGGCGTAATTGTAGCTACGAGATAAGTCGGTAGATAGATCGAACTTTCCCGAATGTTCGTCTCGTTGTATGTACACGAATGTGATACTTTTTAAACTTTGCTCGGCGCTTTTCTCCGACCGGATTTCGCGACATCGAATCAGCTTACACGCATTCAAAGACAGCTGTAATAATTGTTTCGACGAGAGTCGTTATAATACACTGACGAGGTCTTCATATCGACCGTGGCGGCTGCAATCAATACACCAACCGAGGGATTTCACTCGATACCGACATGATCTTCTCCCGAATTCTTCGACCAGGAGTCAGAGTGTCTTTCAGGTTCCGCTTTTTGTTCTCGGGGTTCTCTAATCAATGATCTGACAGATGACGAGCCGTGAAGATCATCGATTACTCTCTCAAATAGTCCATTGCAGGGGAAACTCAACGACGAGGTTCCTCCCGATCGAATCCGTCCAAGGAATCGTGTACCAGTGATGGGCCCTATCTGGTTATAAGTATGGATAGTCCAGCTAGAGGTTGAAAGCTTTCTCATGCGGCTACCGGAGCACCGCCCACGTTCCCTCCCGAGTCGGAGAGTTGCGACGAATTTTCGCGACCGAGGCATGAGCCGTTGTGCCTCTCCCATGGTGGGTTGCATGTCTCACAAGCATCAGATTATATGTTCGCATCATGAGATGATGAGGCTAAAAGGAGCAAACTCGAAAGACCGATTCGCAGAGCCGCTCATACATACATTCATTCGTTCATTTATTCTACATAGACGCTCGTCGTTCTGTTCTCGGCCTCGCCGGGAACTCCGTTCGATGTTTGCGGTGCCGGTTTCCGGAACACTTATAGACGACATAATATGTACAATGCATCAATCTCAAGATCACTCGAGTGTTTTCGCTACATCGTCGCTTAAAGCTCAATCGACCATCAGCACCTCCATGTACACGCTCATCGAAGTCGTCGAACCGAGCTCTCTCATCGAGCGTTTTGTAACAGCAGCAGCATTATGGCAAGGATAGCTACAGCTGTGATTGACGGCGCCGCTAAGGTAGCTGATGCGTCAGGCTCCGCAAGATCCCCGTCGGCGGTCTCACGTTCGAACGTAGCTTCCACGTCGTTACACGAATCCGAGCACTCGTCCTCCACGCAGATGTCGCAAATACGAGCCTGACAAAGAGGAAAGAATCATTGGAACGAGCGCCTGAAGTCTCAATAGCAGTTGACGAAGGGATTTACAAGCGGGGGTAATCATACCTTTTTGGGATGATAGAATATCCTCGCTGAGTTGGCGAGGTTGTAGTAGTCGTAGATTTTCACAGGTGCGGGTTTCTGGTGCGCGACGGCGTATTCCCTATGCGCGGGCACGGTGACGCAGAGTTCATTTTTCGTGACGCGATCGAAATAAATGACCACATTCGTGTCTCCGTCGTTCGACTCCACTCGTCGCACATCGTTAGTCCGATGGATGGAACTCAAAGTATCGTAATCGAATACGTATCCCGAAGGCAGGCCCACCTCCATGACAGCCATGTTCGTAGCGTTTCCTTCACCGCGGTAGTGCGTGCAAACCGAGAGCTGCATGTAACTCTCGGTTGAGGTCTTGTCCAGCTGCGGGTTAAGGTAGAAGGTCGGCTCCTCGGAAGTCACCATGAGATTATACTCCCACGACACCTGGACGACAGCCGTGCCGAAGCCGGTCGCTTCGATTTCGACCCATTTTAAGTCGGAAGGTAACTCGAGCTTCTGTAGAACGAGTGCGTTCCTAGAGTCGATCCGAAGTGTTCTCGAGCCGCCGATCTGACCGAACTTGATTGTAGCGTCGATCGAAATCGTCGGAGAAGCCACTGTTGCCGCTATTCGAGACAGGGCTTCGATCGCGATTATAGTATCCTGCGTCGACGTGAAACCGCCGTTGCTGTTCTGTTGACTAATGAGCCATTGCATGACTGGAATGGCTTGACCGGTGTCGCCCCTACTAATCAATGATAAGAGCGCGTAGGCGGTCATTTCGATATCTTTGAAATGACGCTTGAAGAACAAGTCAGTCTGATGGAGGTCGTAGTCGGTGATATTATGAGTGACACTGGGATCCTTCCAATAAATGAGTTGATCTTCACGGCTCGCCAGTGATTGCAGTTTGAAGAAGGCCTGGTCTTTGTTCGGATTGTTCGAGATATGCAGTGCGTAGGTTATGAGGGCTGTCACATACGGGTCCGCCGTGGTTCGCAGCTCTCTGAGTAAGAACTCCTCGGATTGACGAATCTTATCGGGGTACTCGTTGCGCACACGAGCTTCCGACAGGGCGATGACGATGTATGCCGCGAGCGCAGCACCGCTCCCGGCGCCGCTCTGCATCGGTTTGTAAATCACTTGGCCCGGCTCTTTGAAGCTACCGTCGGGCAAGTGTTGCTCCATCAGCCATTCCGTCGCGTTCTTCAACACTAGCTCGTCGACTCTGATGTACCTGGAAGGGAATACCTGAGACTCAACCACGGGGTTCCGTCGCGCCTGCTCCGGAACCATTTCTACATCGGATCAGCCGGGCAACTCACTCTCTCGCGTGTGCGAGTGATTTCACGACGAAGGCAGTCAGCCAGGAACTGCCAGATTTGTCAACATTGCCAAAGGCCGAGAAAGAACCGTCATCATGCTTGTAGGTGAGCTGCTTCTGATAACCGTGCTCGATGTTCTTCTGAGCCTGAGCTTCCAGCTGGGGCGTGAGTCTCTTCGAGGCTTTCAAGTAGTCCAGAAGAACGATGTTCGGCACGAGATCGAGCATATTCTGCTCGCCACACCCATGAGGCATCTTCAGCAAATCTTTCAAATTGTTCACTGAGGGTCCGAGGATGTCGCCTACGGCGGTCAGATAAACTCTTTCTGAGCCCGGGACGGCGTTCTTGGGGAATGAAACGCTGACATTGTACTGCGAAGGGGCAGCCTGAGAGTTTCGCCGCTCTGAAATCAACAGTGATCTCAAAGTATCTCATCCGGGTCGGCGGACGACCCGCTCAGCGTACGACAATCACTCAATGATCTTCTTACCCAATAAAATAGCCTTGTTAAAGTATTGGGTCGATCCCTCGGGCTGAACGAGAAGTTTCTTCAGAACCGAGTCTCCGCCGAATCCATGGCTAGCCGTTATTTTGATATCGATGTAACCGAGTCTGGTGGGCGTGATTAGGAACGAGACGGGTGAGCCGTTCTGTGGCTGAATAGTGATCTTTTTCCTGTCGGGTTTGGTCGATGCCGAGGTGAAAATGAAATCTTTCTTCGAGTTGTCGATAAACACATCCGCCTCAATCGCCTTGTTCCCGTAGTTGAACACAACGCATTGGATAGCGATCGACTCGTCCCTCTTCACCGCATACGGCAAGGATACCGTGACGAAGAAGGGCCTGAAGGTCGTCACTTTCGCTGCCGTCGGAGCTATCCCGAGCCCTGTGGTCTGGTCCATCGCGAAAGCCGTCACTATCCAGGACGTGATCGTGTCCGGAATGATCTCTGAGATGACGGCACGCCCGTCGGTGCTGCGAAGAGAAAGGGAGATTCTGAAGTCGAATCATAGACATTGCTTCGAGAAATACGTAATGAGTCGTATACAGATGAGGACAATCGAGACACCGTGTTCCCTCGATGTAACAATCGACGGATGGATGGATGTCGGTCCAGAACCAGCGGGATTGAAACGTTTCCGGTCTCGACACAAACCTGGTTGTCGTGTTTGTCCACATCCATGTTTCGGGAAACCGTGATCTCAAACGGATTCGACCCGGCTCCACGTCGGGTGCCTCCGGCAAACCAGACGGAGGCAAAGGTTGATTTGTCAGCGTGTTCGTATCGAGTCTGATAACATTATCCCGACCCTCGACTGAAGAGAGTGCAAATGCTGATGAACTTCATGGGATACTTGCGAAACGCATGAATGCCAAACATCGGAAGCTTTGAGGCGAAAAAGGCGATCTAATTCAGCCAGCGAGGAAGAAGAAAAGAATTCAGAAGCGAGGGTGATTTGAAACGCAGCGTGCTCCCGACTTGACCGAGATCGGAATCGTCATCCATACGTTCCGGATAATCTCGGAAGCGTCGAGGAAAGGAGAATTGCGTTAGATCTGGACCGACCATCCCGTCAAGCAGCATGGAGGCACGGTTTCGCGGTGTTTGTTATGGACGATACCTATGGCAGAAAGTTACCTGGAGGTATGGTCTTTCCAGAGCCATGTCTCCGCGAAATTCTGCCGGGAGCGGACAGAGCTTTCCTCAAGCGCGGAATCTGGTAAAGTGTCATGGGAAGCGAGCTGCAAGCCCTCCTCTTCATCTTGCAGCTCCGAGGAGCGGAATTGAGCTGTGAGTAAGCGTACATTCACGCATGAGTTATTGCACGCATCGGAAAGAGGCCGGCCGATTGAAAGAGCAATCGACGAGCAGGCGCGTCTTCGACCGCAACAGGTCTATTGGCAGCGGGTCTTACCTTCGTCTTGATCGAACACAAAACCGTTGGTGAGCACTATCATGCCAGCATCTCTGAACTGTTCGCCGGCCGTGTAGGAGCCAGGATACCAGAGCGACCGACGTTTGCGTCGCCTGTAATACGTAGGCCACACTTTCGCCTTCTTGCCGGCATCGTAGCTTTCGAGCTCGTTCACAATCTGTGCTTCTGACAGATCATTCCCAGTTCTCAACAGGAGGACACTCTGATCGACGCCTAGAATTCCTACGTAGCTGGATGGCGTCGTCGATACGGTCACCTCGACACGGCTGCCGGGTTTCGTCTGACTCACGCTCGCCTTGATGTCGACGGGCGTTCGGAGAATACCGCTCACGTCGAAGTTGACACTGTCGGTTACGATTTCCTTGTTCTTCGCAATCGAGGATATGACTAGACGTGCTTTCGGTGCCAACTTGAAGGATGCAACGACGACAAAACGGAACGTCGTCTCGTTACGCAGGGTGATCGTAGAAGCCGACACAATGTCGCCCCGTCCCATGATTTCGTAGGTGATATGGTCGAGCGGATAGGTGGAATTGACCTCGAACTCCAACCTGTCATTGACTCGAGGATTCTCCGGAGACATCAGCCTCGCTTGAATAAAGGAGTTCGACGGCGATTTCGCCGGCAGAATGGAGTCGAGATAGAAGATCTGGCCTTTGTATTCCGCGTGCATTCCCAGAACTACAGTCGTCGGTTCGTTCGGTGGAACCAACTCCAGACGAATGATTCCGCTCTGTGGAATCCAATGCTTCTGCTCGGTCCATTGTTCTTCCTCGTAGTTGTAACCGTAACGGAGGATGATCTGATTCTCGGGGTCCTGGACCGGTGTGTCATCCTGGTAAGATACTTTCAACTGGAAATAGAAACTTCAATGGATCGATGCTTACGACAACGCATGGAATCCATTCGAAGCAACCAATGATTGGAGAACGCCGATGTTCTCAGGGAATACTCACGAACAACGTGTATTTGAGACCGGGCTTGAAAGTGTCGGAGGTCTTTATCAGCTGGATGCGCACCGCTTTGTCGAATATCGGCATGTAACTGGTGGAGTTGTACTTCCGACTAGTCAGCTCTTCTTCGACAAGAGCGAAGAATTCGATTTCTCTTTGGAAGAAATCTGTCTTGAGCTGGAGGTCCCTGGTGATGGTGAGCGGTATGTTCACCTCACCGTCAATCGGGACTTTCGTTTGGAACTGCTCGTATGGTCTTGGTCGTATCTGTTGGTATCGCGTCCGGGGCGTTACGGTCAACGTGACTAATCCTTTCACGGGTTTCCCGTATGTGTAGGCGGCTTTCACGGTAGCAACAACATCCGATTCATTGTACGTGGCATACTTGGGGAGCTCAACTCTCACTTGGAAGGTCGGGAGCACGTATTCCGCGACTTGGAACGATTTGGAAAACTTTTGATTCGAAACTTCGCAGTGCAGGGCCCAATCACCCAGCACCGGGCTTTCAGATAGCTCGAACTCATTGCCTAAAACACCCCGAGTCGTGAACTGGCGCTCCCATGAGTGTATCCTGGAAGGGGGAGGGGAAAGACATCGTAGAAGTCTCATATGGCGCGTCATCATATGTAGCAGGAGGAACAGAGAGGAAAATTATGTTATTCATGGATTCGAGAGCCTCACCGATTCCCTTTACCGTCGGTGACCCAAGCGTTCACGGCACCGGTGACGCTCGGTTGTAGGAAGGGGTCTGTTATGATCATTCGAAAATGAACTTTCTGGCCAGGCTTGTACACCGCCTTATCGGTTTGTATGAACACCGAGTAGCTTTTGTGAGCGAAGCCGAGGGAGGTTTCGTTGGAGAATTGGATCGATCCCGTGCCTTCTGCTTTCAGCGAATAGTTGCCCGGATTCCAGTCTCCGATTTCGAAGCTGATCAGCTCGGTCCTCACTGAATCATAGGACAAGATTATTGACATTCTCCCCCCAGCTCATCAATGGAACAAGACCCCAAGCCAACGAATTCCCGGACTGAGAGTCACCCGTCAAAATCGCTTTTCAGTACGAAAAATCGTCTCCCACGCCGAACGAGGAGCGTCGGGAGATATGCTCTCTCGAGCCAAAACAGGCGCTCACGTGTTCACCGTTTTCCTTCGTGTCGCATCCGATAAAAAATCAGAAACTCAATCGGAGGAGCGCCCTCATAGAGCGAGCCCCTGAGGAGACAATCTCATGAGAGGTTTGTTCCGACAATTATGGAAGGTATGAGAGCGTTTCCGAGGAGGAGTTCAAACGCACGGGAAGTCCGCCGTATCAAGGAATATGCTCAGTTAGGAGGTCTGTGATCCGTGAGCTCAGAAAAGCAGAACATTACGGGAGCGCGGTACTCCGCAGGATATGTATACGTAAGTGGTCGTACCGCTTTCTTGGACGATCTATCCCAGGGGCGTCAGACTTAAATTTTTGGCCGGCCACGTTCGAGCGCTGCAGGTGCCCGCGGGCCACATTGAAAATTCACTTTCGTATAGAAGGAGAATATATGCCTATCGTCCACAGAAGAATGCTTCTCCAGCCTCCGGGAATCGAGGGAAAACTCGTTTGTTCGGTTGTACGGGGGAATTCATCCCACCGATCTCATTCAATTTCTAAGCACTCATTCGAAACGGTCGGCTTCGAGTATGTGGGGAAAGAGTGGCGGGCCACAAAAAAAGACCTCGCGGGCCACATGTGGCCCGAGGGCCACAGATTTGACACCCCTGATCCATCCTCTCGCTTCTCGAACTCCGCCTCATCGTTCTCGAGGGGAGCTCTCGTGACCTTCACGGTGTCTCCACTGCTTAAGAGCAGCAGGCTTGGCTTCGTTGACGGGCACTGATCGTCGGACGAAGAGATCTCCAGCATCTTATGTTCTGGAAGTTTTCGAAGCACGGATACTCACGAGGAGCGACTTGAGCACTTCTGGAAATGTAGTTGAACTGGCCTTTCTCGTCATTGCCAAGAATCGACAGTTTGATATCCACGGGATTCGGAACATCTCCGACAGAAGCGGCCACGTTGTAGATAACATTCGGTCGCAGAACCGAGGGTGCCACGATCGTGTACACGCTGGCGCGCTGGCAACTGGAATAAAGTCGAGATGCTTATATTGGGCAGGGACCTCGCACCCCATGAGTTCCACGTCTGACAAGCTGTATTCCGCTTGTTCCGCCGCTGATGCCCTCCCTTGCCTCCGTTGCTTTGGCACACCCGCCCTGTCATTGAACGCGACGAACTCGCTCCAAGTCACAGGACAGTCCTAACGAGCCGGTTACCCGGAGCCGAGACATGATACAGAGATCCAATGAGTCGAACCGCGGTCGAGAACAGATCGACAGAAGACCGGATTCTGGATCTCGTGTCTCGACCCATGGGATCCGCGTTCGGAAGAGAAACAAGACGAGCATCCACATCATCATACTCACCGGGCCGAAGCGGCAAGAAGCACAAACAGGAGCGCGCGACTGATCGCCATGGCGCTAGCGGCGCGCTCGAGACTGTTCTGTAAAGAGAAAAATTGCGATACTCGTCAATCGATGAGTTTATCGAGGTTCGCTGCTCCCGGATACCTGGGGGAAGAGCAATGAACGTCGGCCAAGAAGTCGTAGTCTCGAAGGTCTGGCCGGACTTTCTTTTTGGATACAGTCCCCGTGCTCCATGGATCAAGTGTTTATCGCCGCGTTGTTAGACACTACCGCATGCAAATTGTTTGCTCTTATTGTCATGACATCTTTCTTCAACGAATCAAGGACTCCCCGGACGGATGGCGGCCGTCCACGCACGTTCGCCCACATGGCGAAACAGCTTGACTAGATTGCCCACTGCGGTGATGACTAAGAGGGACAGGGATTTGAAAAAAAATCTGACTCAATGACAACGTGAATTTCTGGGCCCACTCGGTGACGTCAGCCCCGTGATCCACTCCGACATATGTATGTAGAGACTTCTGTATTCCCGGCTTTTCCCATCGAGGGGAACAGCGTCGCCCAAACGAGCCTCATGCAGATAGTTGGTGAGTCGCCGAAAGATAACTCCTGCGAATGATTCCTACTGGTGTCGCGGAGCCAGTTCGCAGCTCCTATTGTCACTTGTGAAGCGAAGCTCCCCATCCAGTGTTGAGCATCAACAAAAGGAACCGGAGCTTCGTAGGATTGCGTGTAAGACTATCCATCTTGAGGATATTCGCGAATCAAAGCTAGTTCCGCCTACATGATATCCGCTGCTTCCGACGGGCCACCCGCTATTTCCCTCACAATGAGTCACAATCGCTTACGTAGACTGTTCTTTGTTAAGTCCTTCCTTTGTAACGGAAGATGTCACCAGCGGATACCGCTATAGGGAAGCGATGTGGGCACCGAAATGTACAACCGAAGGTGAAGTCGCTCGAACCTATTCCGACGATTCACCGGACTCGTCAGGAAAATTATTCGAGCCCTGCTAGCTAATGAGGTTCCCGAGCGCCCTTACTCTTCACCGTAGGATCGATCTGAGCCGGTTTGCCATTGGGAGATGCCCAGCCGCTTTCGAGGTGCGTGTCCCCGGATGGTCCATTGTTTTTTTCACGGCCTGCAGCACAGAAAAGATTGATCGCATGTCCACTTCAACGGGCCCACAGTACCAGCCTGCTCCTCGCGAAGCTCTGGAGGCATTGGAGTATCGAATCCTCTCGGGTGAACAATGCCCGAGCTGTGCAAATCACTATTGAGGAGAAGTGTCGTCGTTTCTTAGTTGGATCGGACTCATCTCAGGGAGCGTGGGACTCGCTACGCCAATGGCAAACAGCCCGAAACGCAGGCCTTCACCTTGGAACTTAGTTTCTGATCCCGCTGGCAGATGGAGCGCAAACGTGTATCGTGAGCGCAAATTATCATTCTTCTAGAGGTGAGATCAGTTCCCGTCCGAGCGGACACGTCGCTCCCCGCTTCCAGTGAGCACCACTGACTGAGAGGAGGTTCATTTCAGTCTTCTCAAGGTAGGTGGTTCGAGCGTGTCTCGGAGCGTATACATTCCCGGTTTTAATGCGAATCGTTTAGGATTCGGGGTGGGATTCGGATCGGACCTACCTCAGAGCTCAACGCCGCATATTCGGGGGATGCACCCAACCCATCAAGCCGCCAGTTGTAGACCAGAAAGGCTCCATATACGTAGGTGACCTTGGAATTGAGTCTTCGCCGTCCCGGAATTCGATTTAGTATGCATATCATTCTAAATGACGTGTCTGTGCTCCATCATCCGTGTTGAGATGTGAAAGTATTCGTTTAGCTACAACGCGCATCAACGAGAGAGAGTTGTGCTTCCCCTTCCTAGCTTCACAGGCGACTGGGAAAAAGCACCGGCAGGGAAAAGGACATGCTTTCCCGCCTCTAGGAAACCTCGATCAGGATCGAGGTACCCCCCGTCGGGGAAATCCAAGATGTGTCCGGGATGTTGCGGCGTCGCGCGCATTTTGAGATTGGAGGGTCCTGCGTCTTGCTGCATCCGGACGAAAGGGTTACCTGCTCCGAGTTATTCGGAAATAATCCCAACGATACACGTTGATTTCAATCCGAGAGCCTTATGCTCAGCGTACATTTTCTGCCAGCAAAATGTCCTCCCAGATAAGGAGTCAGGATTCGGCGAAGAACGGAAGGATTCTACGTACAGCTCGGTGGGCAGACAACCGTCAACGATATTCCCGAGCAAAGCGGCTTTTCTGTAGTGTGGCTGATGGCCCACGCTTCAAGGAGCGAGCTCCGCTCCAGCATTTCCGTTTACGGTCATTCCTGCTTGAGGAGCCTCTGTCGACGCAGGCTTCCCCGAACGAAGTATTCGACAAAAAGGCGCTTGAACACACGGGAGGCATGCGCCTGACAGCCACGTACCGCCCTGAGCTTTAGGGTTCACAGCATTGATCGCGGGCATGCTTATCCCATTTCTTGGAAAGAATATATCGACTTCCAAGTGACCGTATCTTCGATAGGCATTCTTCGGTAGCTGCGTAGCTACAAGCCCTTCCAAGCAGCACACTTCGACTTGCACAGGCTGCCCATGGTAAAAGAAAATGTCACGGAGAAGATATTCGAAACTTTGGCTGACTGTCGTCGATTTCATATCGATCTGCGGCTTTCTCCGGAGCGCCCAGAAACGAGACTGTACTTCGCTCTCTCGACCCAACCGGTGAAGAGACCAGGGAACCTCGACAAGCGGTCGCGGATAGCTCCACGATCTCCTCACTGTGAACATCCCCGAGGGAAATCTGATATTTCTTCTCCACAAGGCCCGCATGAATCTGCCGCATGAATTTCGAGAACGAGAACGCGAATGAATTTCATATCCAGAAAACGTCTTTTAACTAAGACTTGCAGATCCCGCTCATCATCGACGAAGACAGATATCAGGAATAACCTTCTCCGTCACTCACGTCGAGTCGCGACTGCTCGCCCGATCCGTGTCGCTGATGGCTCCCATCGATAGAGCGACATGTTAAGAATGTGGTTCTGCGTTCTGCTTTCCTGCTGGCCTAATTTTCGGCCGGACCGCCGAGGTGAGAGAATCAATCGGTCGGAATCCGGTCGGTGATACACGCCGACAATGAAGCTGCGGGGTCTCGTGACTCGAGTTGCAGACGATGAAACGAAAAATCCACAAACGAAGCTTGAGGTTACATACCGGTGCTCATCACAAATGATAAGCGCGGCACGGAGACTCTGGTCGGATCTTGAGTTCATTCGCCCATTCTCCGTCGACATTCTGTCACTCGGGAGCTCTAGAGGCGAAGACTTCGACATGCTCCTCACACTTGGTGTTCATCCAGATTCCTAGAGAAGTCCGACTTACCGTCGTAGATGAACGGCCCGTCTATGCTTGTTACCGATGGCGGCCCAATGTGAGCGTACTTCGGATATAAGTCAAAGTTTTGCTTGACGTTCTCACTTTGCGCTGTCTTCAATAAAGACTCACCGCTGCCCACGACTTCATGGGAAAGAGACTTGACTTCATCGAAGTCACACCAGACGGCGCCACCGATGTTTACGTAGGCGTCACGGGGAAGCCGGAGCAGCCCCTCAAGGGCATGTAGGTGAGAGATTCGTCGTTACGTAGAAGCAGTGGCGGATTTACCCAGTAGGCTTAGAACTTAGAAGGCTATGGACTGGGGCGGCAGTTTTCGGGGCGGCGGAATCCTGGTTGGATCTTCTGTGATCCTCGACAACTCACTCAGTGATTTCGTTCGAGATCGAGACGAAGACATCGACTCTAACTCTCTATGAAGGGCGAGGAGCCGTCTCAAAAACGAACAGCGAGACATAATTTCTTGGATACCCGATCAACTATTTTGAGAATTAATTTTTTCTCTTTTTCTGGGATTGACTGAATATGTGGAGACGATTTTCAAGTCGACGGATCCTCAGGCTTTTCATGGGATAGAAGAGAAATCTTGAGAACTTGAAGCAAGCGCCGGGAAGAACCGGGATTCATTCCCAGATGGGTTGCATCAGGGCGGCGGTCCTGATTAAGCCTGGGGGCGGCAAATTCGAGGATCCGCCGCTGGATAGAAGACACGCTCAAGAGCATTGCTCGATCCTCTAGCGATCTCATCCGGTCATGTTGCGGGTCGAGTTTTCATCGTACGCGAGCGCTGAGGTCGAACGTCTTCCATCGGAGATGAGCTATATTTGTGCATGTTGAGCGATCGGAACTGCAGACCTACGTACCTTGCATGCCCTTTTCTGTCCTGGTCGATTCGATCACGATCTGAGAAATGCCACCACAGCCTCGTGATTTCGGGCAACCAGCCCGAAACCAAGAGGGATCGGGCCGTCTCATCTCGTGGAGTAAATAACGAGAGCGGATCCAGTGAAGGCTGTGTATCGAAACGGCAGACAGTTTTCCCTCTTCGATTTTTCCTCGATCAGTCCAATCTCTCGATACCCGAGACTGTTTCACGAGTCACATGGTGAAAAAACAGGCTCTGCATAATCAACTTTGTCCTCGCAGCAGGGTTCCGAACCCCAGTTCGATCGAGGCTCGTCCAAAGACGCTCCGAATCTCAATGAAGATCCCCGGTCGAGAGGCCCCTCTTCTCGAAGATCTTATTCGACGAATACGAGGTCGTGTCAGTCACTGCTCGTCCCAATTCTCCAGTGGAATCTCCGCTCGGTACGGCGGTCGATGCTCGTATGCGGACAACACGATTCCCGCAAGTACCCAGTACGGCGTGAGGGAAGGGAATGCCGAATCCGATTCCTTTGGAAGCTTAGGATCTTCACGAGGCGTCAACCTCGGTTTGTATTCCTTCAGCTGTGATCATTCTTCGCTTCTGAGGATCGGGCGGCTGGAGTAGGCTGTCCGGAGAGTATAAAACGGACCGTCAAGGGTTCTTTCCAATGGGATAACTCCCTGGAAGAGAGCTTATCGATTGTGGGCTCAACGGATCATACAAGCCCCGAGGGCGGATCTAATTGGGAATGCCCCTGAAACGGTTTCCCGGTCTGCGCTCAATCTGAATCTAGCTCAGTAGCGTCCAGTGCCAGCGGACGCGAGAGTAAGCAGAGTCGGTCGCTCCTCCCGGAGCTGTCGGCCTCGAGGGCGAACGAGTCAGCCTGCGTTTAACCTATTCGGATAAATGGATCTGGATCAGGGGTGCACGAAGCGCGGCCCGCAGCGCAATTTTCCGCGGTCCGCGACGCTCTCCCGGGTATTCACGACGATCAATCCAAAACCGCATGAAGCGCTTCCGCAAGAGTTTTGTAGACGATTCTCGAATTTCGAGGCTTCGGAGACCGAGTTCCAGTGCTTCGTAGATCGTAACACACTAATGAGCGGAGGAATTCCTCGCACGGAAGCCGCCTGAAATGTCTTGCTTCTCACCAAGAAACGTCAAAATCGAGTTGCAGAAGAGATTGTCTCCTCGCCCATCACAGATTCCCCGACGAAGAAAGATTACAAAAGCTCCGAGATCATACTCTTTGAATTATTCCACTCTTCTGCTCAACGTACATTCATGAATGAAGCTCCAGCATCCTAAGTCCAGATAGGTCCCGACTCCGGGCGCCTTCAAAGCACGATGATTCGATCTCGTTTTCCGAATAGCGTCAACCCACTTCAAGGCGGATATTGATAATATATTGCTCCAGTCGATGATATAATAGATCCTCCGAAGCCTAGTTGAGCGGGGATGGGCATCGGAACGACATAAATCAGGGAATGCATTGGGCATTTTTCCTTGGAATCGCGGCATCGACGTTCCTTGCGTCCAGCCAAACACGTTCAGAGTTCAGACTGGGAATGTGGCCCGCGAGGCACTCGAAGCTGTACACCCCTGAGCTAGATCAATGGGAAAATCGGGGAGTATCATCATCACGGTTCGGATAATAGTCTCGATGATCAAATATTGATGCATATCAGAACATGATAACAAATGATAATAATGATTGAGATTTTCCCCCTGTCTTGCGTCGCGCGCGCCTCTGTCGTCTGCTTGTTTGTAAACCCAGCACAGATGACTCTCTTTTCGCCGGTGAGACACAAGGTGAAGCGCTCCGAATCGCGCGCGGCCTCCTGAAGGGAGTTTGGAAACTGAGAACCTGCGTGGACTTGCTCGGAGGCAGCGAATCGATAAGAGGCTCCCTTGAGGTCCGGCCGAAGGTGAGAGCTACGGTGATCCGAATTCGATTGAAATCTCGGAGAGCAGTTTGATCATTATCATGATCCGTGTGTGTATTTCCAGATGTCTTTCTTTGCGACGCCCCTGGGTGTGAGGGTGGGAGCCGGGCTCGCCGCCGTTGCCACCGCCGGAGGCTTCGCCTTCGGTTGGCTGCCTCATACGATATACATCGACAAATATAAGGAAGTGGTGCAATTCTACCAGAACGGTTTCCCGGGGAAGTTGGATGACAAGATCCAGCGACGTGCCCGGAAAGCTCTGCTCGACGTCAAAATCAATGATCGTTTCAAGGACCACATCAGCTTTTTCCAAGTTGCAACATTGGATCCGATGTTCGCGGGAACTCCTGAGAGCGGATACGGGGCGATACTAGGCATTCCCGCTACGTTCGCGTTCGAAAGCGTTGAGGATGTACCAATAAGGGAACTCGCGCTTGTCGGGGAACCAAGCGCTGTATCATGGGAGTCCCCAGCGGGGAAATTGCTGAAGGAGTCCTTCGTTTTCAGTGATGAAGCACAGAGATATGCAATCGCCCAACACATTTACATGGCGAACAGTAATCATGTCACAGTGAGTGCTATACTACGCCCATGAGGAGAACATGAATCTAGTGACTGAAGAAGTCAGATCGAAAAGGGGGTTCCCGGTGATCCGAGCCTGGAATGACTTGGAAAAACTTTGTTTCAGTTGAACACGGTCGCATCCGCAGGAGCGGTTCTGAATACTTACATAACATCGAGACTCTTCAACAAGAAACTACCCTCGGCTCCTTTCTGGGCCCGATGTCTTATCTATTCGCTGTGTGCTGCCTTCAATGCGTCAGGATACATCTACATCAAAGATATGACAACTTATACCAGAGAGAAAGATGCACTAGACCGCGCCATTGATCTTGGGCCCGACTATAAACGAGGTGCCGTACAGTACTACGAGAGGCTTCTCGTGAGGAACAAAGCTCTACGAGTAATTCTTGGGAAAGAGGGTGCCTCGAAGTACACAGCGAGAGGCAATCTAAATACACTGATTCGAACGCCTCACTTCCCTCTCAGCGCTGCCCTAGATCGAGCAAAGTCGCACGAGGACGAGATAGAGGAGTGAGGGAGGGTAAGATGGTATGTCATATCTGTGGGAATCAAGCAATAAATTAAGTAAACGTCAAGATTCCATCTCTGGGCAGGCTCAACACCTCCTACTCTTGGTTCTCAAGAATCTTAGTATCTCCTCTATTTGTGTATGGGCATTTCCATTTATTCTCCGATCTCTTCTCGGCCTGTTCCAGTACCGCAGGGTGCCCTGCTATCCCCCGTTGCTGTGTCAATCCGGCCGACTATCAGGAACTGATACCTGAGCTCAGGATGCCCGTCGATCTCTCCGATCAGAATATTTGGGGAGGAATGTCAATTTTGTCCGAGGAAATTTCGGGATTCACTCGAGCAACTCTCCAACATGCCTACAGCATCGATTCCATTTATCACGGTGTATCGCAATTGATCAGAGGCGCCTGCCCGCCTAGGACTATGTACCCCGGAAATCAGCCGCCACGCGAGCTGAGAGAGCAGGCTCGTAGCAGACGACAAGTCCGGGGAAGTAGGTGAAGCGAAACAACCACCATACCGCCGGCTGCCGGCACGTGTTTGAGGAAGGCGCGTGTTCCAGAGCGGGCTTTTACTGACTACGTCCCTGAGCTCGGAGTCCAAGCTCTGAGTGGGTCCATGAGCCTCGAAGCTGCTTGGTAAAAATGACCAGTAGGCGTGTTCAGATAGCCGAATTCATCCTCACCGACTTCTACGGACCGATCGTGAGTGCTGTGGCTCATCAGTTGCTTCGAAACCACAGTTTGACCCTACCACAGCTACAACAACGAGTCGTGCAGTATCCGAGAGGCAAAATCAAGGAGAGCTTGATGTGCCTCTTGCAGAATGGTCTAGTGACGGCTCAGATCGATCGGAACCAAGAGTCGAGAACACAATTCCGGATGTCCATCGACGATGTTTTCAGCATAATACATTGCGCGGGCTTCATCTATCGGGCGAATTTACTCTTCGGGGAGGTCGGACGCGAGCTAGCTCATGAATTCACCTTGCACGGCCAATTAACGGCCCCCGAGGCTGTTGATATTGTCAAGGACAGAGTCGACAGACCTCGACCGGAAGTTCAAAAGGTTATCAATGATATGTTCGAGACAAACTTCTTGATAACCTCGCCCTTGTTCGAGAAGCATCTGATCCATCGGGATGAGAAAGGCTCGCGCGCGCTCCTGGCCTCCTACAATCAGACCCTGACCGACGGTATCATGTACTCGTTGAATAATCGTAGGTTCTTCGAGCAGGAACGCAATGAAATTATCACTGAAATCGTGGGAATGCTGCATTGCCATCCTTATACGAAGAACATCATACGTTGCGTCATTCGTGTTCTCGAGACGAAGAAAGGAGGAGATGAAGGGAAGATGCTGAGGACCTCTGCCTCTGTCCACCAAGACGAAATCATCAACATGGTGGAGAAGAAGTTCAGGGTCTCAAGGAATGAGATATTGCAGTGCTTGAAAACCTTGACTTTCGTGCCGCGCAACACCCAGTACAGGAGTCAGGATGACATTTTGATTCTGAAGAAGGATCCGAATCAAGCTAATTGTTATATTCTCGATTGGGAACTAGCGATACGGATCTGGCTCCGACAGACAGCTCTGCGGTATGCTTCAGAGAGACATGGACATCACGCATCGTGCATTCTGGGCATGCTACTCTTCCATGGGCCGAGTGAAATCGAAGCGATCCAGAAACAAACCCTAATCTGTCCCAAGGAAGCGAAATGTATCGTGTACACTCTTGAAAACGACAATTTCCTCGAACGAGTGGAAAACATCACCGCGGGCGACACCCATCGTCAAGAACCAAGGTACAGATCTACTTACCTTGGCCTCGCAAGACTGCTCGAGAATCGCTGGGAACAAGCGATTTTCAATGTCCTCATACAGCGTAAAGAGATTGCTGATACTCATCGTGTTTTGCTGAACAAATACAAGACTTTGGACAAATTCGCTAGAACACTGGACGATTCCGAAGAGATCACTCACTTGTGGGCTAGCCTGACGAGGCCAGAACGTCAAACCCTCCATATTCTAAGGCAGCAACTGCTCCAGACGGGTGTTCAACAACAGAGTCTGTGCAGGGAACTCATCATGCTCAAACAAGCGTCAATGACATTCACCGAGAGCTAAGTCACTCTTTGGCAAGCTAGATGACGAATGCTCCCCTTTCTTGATTCTTCGGCTGTGCCCAAGAAACTATCATTGATCCAAGAAATTCCCGAGAATACGACCGTCGCTCAGCAGATGAACGGACCCTCTGAACCAGGACTAGTCTCTCAGCATTTCCATGAGCAATACCGTGTGGCAGCTGGATGTGCTCGGGATCGCAAACAATAGCGATGCGGTTTCTCGGGGCTTAGCATCTCTACCTGCCGATAAGCACACCGATGCGGGCACTCGGCTCCGAATCTCTGATTGGACTAGATAGCCTTCAACAGCGGAGACAGAAAACTCGACAAGACATCATTCTGAGGGAAGAAAAAAACGTCCCATCGCGAATTAAATCAATCCGAGGCCCCAAGGCGAGGGCTTTCGGAGTGTATAGCATCCCGTGACACCATGCTGGTTGACCATTAAGCAATCTCTCAGTTGGGGGGGGCAAAAAGATTCGGGAGTCATTTGCCTTCAGCGACACCAGTGCATACTCCCGGGACCGGCGGACACGGGGAGTATTCATATTGTTTTAGGCGATTCCCTGAATAAAGCCCAACCCCTTAGAGGACGTCACAGAATTTTGATTGGAGCAATTTGAGGCGTCTCTTCGAAAAAGTGACTGCCACTTTTTTTGCATGAGACGCCTCTATTTGAACGACCCGTCGATTGAATGGCTCCTTCTTTTGTCGGAGAGAAGAGCTTGCACGAGAGTGCGGAATCCGACCGAGACTACGATGTCAAGGAACCGAAGCGGAGGATGGCTTTGAGATTGTTCATGAGTTCATACGTTTCTTCTGTGTGGACGCGCTCCGTTGCGATGAATATTCGTTGCGAGGAGAGCTTCTCAAGGCTTCTGGAGGGAACCTACGGTGCTCGGACCGAGCAAAGCCAGTCTTCACCCCTCATGATAGAATTGCTTCATGATAGTGCTCATGGTGAGAGGTTATCTCTGCATTCGGATATCCCAATCGATGGTCTCAGAAAACTTTGCTTGGAGGATTCTACCTCAGAGATTCCTTCATTCAACAGGATTATATCTGCCAAGATCGGAAGAGGAATTTAGAGTCGCTCCCTGGATGCTCACGATTGATCTGATCGCTTCCATGCGAGGTCAGCTCGCTAAATTCCGTCGAGATACTAGCGAACGACAGAAACTTCTCCATACCGATCTCACTGCGAGTCTTGACTTCGACTGATTTCTTCAGCTTCTCCTGATGCAGTGGGTTGGAACCTCAGGATGTCGCGTCCACATTTTCGATTTGATCAACAATTTCTCCTGATTCCTGGCTCGATGGATGCTCGGCGGAGAACTCATGGTCGCTATTGGCCCGCGTCGTGACCGTTAGAGTAAACGGTTCGGAGGTTTCTAAACAAGGTCTCCATTCTCTCGATGATTTCGCGCATGCTCAGATTTATTCAGGAGCCGTGCGACCCTGGGCTTAATTTCGGTTGCGATGATTCATCCACACTCAACATCCAGTCAATTCTGAACGTCTCGAGAATACGTCATGTCATATTTCTTTCATCACACTTCTGCGAAGACCAGCCTTCAGAACATCAGAGTGATTTCCGCCTAGGGGTGACTGCTCTTGGAAGTGTGAACATGATACTGTCTGGATATGCGAGGGCTGAAGGGTGATCCACGAGTGGAAGGAGGAGTGGGGGCGGTCCTACGAGGGGACGGATGATCGGGATTCGTGCCACGAGAAACAGGAACCTTGTTCATGCGTACCTCAGCCATTTATAACCGAATGGTCCAAAGAAAAAGTCTCGCGGTTTTTAAAAGACTGAATATTTCCGTCTTCACCGATCCTTTCTTGGGCCAGATGCGATATGTTCAAGGAGGCCGAGAATCATTGAATAGTTTCCCGATTCGAGGAGCGGGCGGAGCACAGCTGTGAAAAACGCCAATATTCATCTCGAGCATCTTCTTCGACGCTGAACCTTCCTGGCTCCGCGGGTCCATGCATGCTCGGATGGAGATCGGATTCCGCTGGCTCGGGTACCCCCTTCCCTCGAAGATGCTGGGTCTCCATCGAAAGAATGCCAGTGGAGACATGATGTACTCCACGATTAGTATGGTCGGCTTGATATCATCTCCTACATAATTATTTATTGATGCTTTATAACACACATACATACACAATTTATTCATTGACCCATGATCGAAATTTATACATCTTATGTAATACTGCAGAGCGGCAAAGGAGAGCTTCTGTACGAGGTGTCATCATTCATAATCTTTCGTGACAATCCATTGTCTGTCCCTCCGTTGAACGATCTCGAAACACGGTAGCAGGGGAGAATGAAATTTGGGAGTAAGCCTTGCTCCTAGAGGGAGAGCATGAGTGAAAGGATGCTTGAATGGATGATGAGTGGAGAGTGAATCCCGTGAGGACCAGAGAACGACTTTCCTCTTCGACAGCTTTCTCCCAAAATTGCTTCGCTCTCGATTCTCTGTCGGCTTCGCAGACATGAAAGTGCTTCTTTTTTCCTGAATGGCTTGATCCCCATGAAAATCGAATTCACGAAATGAGCGCTTTTCCTCCCACAGCGGCTTGTACCGTGGTGCGAGTTCCCGAGCGGAAATCAGCAGATCGACTGACGATTTCTTTGAGATGTCGATTGGTCGTGATCACCCATCCCAATCTCGAGGCCCTTTCACCAAAGTGCGATTCTCGTTCGATATCCCGAAGAGCCCGTAGAGGTTACTATGATTGATAAGTGATTTGGTTGTTCAGGATTCGGTATCCCTTTTTGGTTCTCAGCCGAACATGGTGATTTTGATCCGTCTGCTCTTTCGATTCTCTCGAATGCCCGTAAGTCACTAAATGCCTCCGCGGTATTATCCAAGCCATTCTGATTGCAACGGTGATCACTCTGATGAGAGGGATCACGATGATGAGGAATAATGACCGAATGCATATATTGCCAAATGAAGAAATCGAGGATGACTGAAATCTCCTCCACCGTGTGTTCAGATTGCCGTACATTCATGATCATGATCATCAATCGTCTGTCTGAATTTCGCTAGTGCGGTTCTCTCCCCCGGAGTTTCCTATCATCATCACCACCGTCCCATCGTTTCCGTCGTTGAGGTCGACGCCGCGGCCCGAGCCGGTATCATGGGCCGCGCTGCTCATATTGGCGATTATCCTCAGTGCGTTTCCGACGATAATCATGTCCATTGTCTGAATCTATTCGTCCGACCGTTTGTCCGTTCGTTGAGGCGACGAGATAATTTGAGTCGTCGCTGTCGTCGTGGTAGGAGTCGATGATGCGGATGATTCGTTTAGCTATTGCATGAAGTAGTCGGTCGGCCCGCCGTCCGAAGGCGTGTCCTTCTCGAATCGTTTAGCTTCTTCTTGCATGCTCTCCTTAATCTTCAAGATGGCGGCACTTTCCGTCTGTTGCTGAAACGGAGTGCATGAGCCGGTTAGACTCTGCTCGCTGAACGCCAAACGGCCTCCCTCTCGAGCCGTTCACTCATTCGGATGAACTCGGGCGCTCTTCCGAAGAGGAAGTGGAAGGGTTGTTTATGTAGGGTAGGAAGGTCGGGGGTAATGGGGAAAGTGAGGAGGGAACGCACACCGAATCGACAGCTCCACTAATTGTAGTCTCGATGCCACTAGTAGCCGACATGCTTATCGGTAATCACAGATTATGTAGTACGATAGGACGTATAATCATAGCAGCAGCAACAGTAGCTGCAGCTGCCGCAGCTTCTATGAATGTCTTGATAGAAGCATCGAGAGAATGACGAGACGACTCAATGATCCTGAAGGATTTCATCTACACCGTTTAATATATCCTTTGACTGACTCATGTGTGTCTCGCGGACTGGCCGAGCAGCTGCCTGACGGGTGCACGGAAACAGTCACTTCGATTGATTAGTGAGGCGTTTCGACGAACGATTCTACAGATGGAGAGGTACACAAACTGACAGAAAAACAGACAGACGAATCACGGATGGACGGACGACTGATAGACAGACAAACAGTGTCAATATGGAAAAAGATCAGAAGTTCATTTATTTGTAGGAATAAATTTGATTTTTCATCATTTCAAAATGCACCACATCAATAAAAACGTTTCTCTAAACAATTAGAATCGTTTTCGGCGAGGACCACCTGCTCTCGCTAAGTCAATCAAATTATAGACATTCAATATGTCAAGTATTAAAAAAATACTGAGCTGATCTCGATGGGGATGGATCGATCGATCGATCGATCGATCGACTGAGCGACCGACCAACCGATCGACCGACGGATAGTTCGATCGCAGGAGAATTAACTAATTCTGTCTGCGCATTTGTCGTACATAGCTTCAGGAGAATAGAGTTTGAACAATCTTCTGCTACTGAATTTCATCCTCCATTATCGTAGTCGACATCGCTTATGAACAACAACATCATCGTCATCATTATCATCTCCATAATCATGTTCCTAATCATCATAATCGACATCAAGTTTCTTGTCATCTTCAGCATATCCGTCATCTTCGTAATAGTCAAACCATTAAGATCATCATCGGCATGCCTCGCTCACATTCTTTCTTGTCTCTTAGAATCCGTGGCCGTTGACGCCCGAAAACAGAGAAGCTTCGCTTACGTTTTCTGCGGGGAAGCCCATCCCGTAGTCTCCCATGGGAGGGCCGTCCTCGCGCGGCGTTGAAGGCCCATTGGCAGGTGAGTTCTTCATGCCGTCGAGGCCGTCGCCGTTCATCGGGGGTCCCATATCAGGGCCTAGAGGGCCGCCCATCGGGCCTCCATCGTTCGCTCCCATTCCGGGGAAGCCCGGGAGGCCACCGCCCCCACCTGAGACCGGTTTCATCATCGTGTACATTCCATCATTTCCTGAGTTTGATGAGTCTGCAATCGCAGCGAGCGTGTTAAGAGAGGGAATGAGGATTCAGCTAGATCGGGACATCTCACGCCATACCCTGGATCTGAACACCATTATGATGGCGCCGCTGCCGATTCACCGTTAATCAATCACCACGATAGGAAAGCTTCACGTTCCAATCGAAGGAGCAGTCTCTACTCTAATCTCAGCTCGACTCCAATGAACCCCAAGGAAACTTCCCCCACGGGATCGAATGCTCTTCGATTCGCCCGCTGTCGAGTTGCATGTTAGTCGCAATGCACATAATTGCGATCGCGAAGCTTGAGACCAAACAATCTTAGGAGCGAGTTAGTAGCCGGCCGATTAGAACAAAGGGACAGACCGGAGCAGAAAACGTGTATGAGCAGCTTAGTGAACTTATGCTTCAATTCAAGTGTTAGGGGAAAAGAATTAACAGGCTGATGGAGTTGAGAGATCGATTATATGCCGACCTCTTCGATTGTTCGTAGTTTGTCCATTGGGGTTGTTTGTCTGGGAATTGTTCTGGTTGTTGGAAGCATTCATTCGATGGCTGCCTTGACTCGCGGGCGAAAATGGTCCCCCTTGACCACCTGTTTGGAGCGGGGCCGACGAATGAGAAAAGGTGAGTGGGATTGACATGGAACAAGTTATAGCAGCGAATAAAATCAGATGGAATGACTATTAGCGTATTAAAAGGAACGTGTCTGGAGAATCGAGCGCAGAAGGACCGCGTCTTGGGCATAGAGTTCAGAGGGAAAGGGGAATTCGAGAAGATTTTGGAGCAGATTCGTCGGAACGCGTCATCGGATCGAATAGGTCGCTCGTAAATGTCGAGCAACGGCGGGAGCGGCCAATCATCTCCGTCCGTCATATCTCGCCCGGACCCCCCGAGATCGCTTCGCCGATACCATTCCATCCGACACTCTTCATTGCAGGGTTCTCTTGGAAACTGTATGAATCTGGCCTATTATCATCGACAGAAAATCCTACAAAATAGTTCACCTTGTGGGCTCGGCATTATGGGCGTTCCTGGTCCGGGTGGGCCCGCACCCGAAACTGGCGGCCCACCGTAGTGGCTTCCCGGCGATGCGGAAGAATAACTCATTCCTGGAGTGCCGGGTTGTCCCCATGGGCGACCAGCAGGCATGGACATTGGTCCCCCTGGCATCGCTGGACCTCCCGGCCCCATATTGCCATTGGGAGGTGGTCGCATCCCACCGTACTGCTGGGAAGGGAAACAGTTCAGGATGAATACTTGCTTTATGCGAGGACTTCCGATTCATTGGAAGCGTAGTAAAGCGGATCTTTAGGAATTACCGGTCGACCACTCAGTTCTCAAAGAAACTTACTCCAGGGTTCATGGGGGCCATCGGCTGTCCTCTCGGTGGGTTCATTCGTGGGTTCATTGGGCTCATCTGCGGGGGTCCTAAAGGGGAGAAATCATTTAGACACGCATACTGATGCAGGGAACGATTCTGAGGTTGCGACAGGTAGGGCGGCTACGGCCTCGGGAACATGAACGATCCCTGGCTCGCCGTGGCGGATAGAATGAATCTGACGAGGGACCCTATAGCGACGAAAACCGCAGAAGCAGGAGGGGAAATGAAATGAAGCTCGTCTAATCGGAAATTTCCCGGAAGCAAATAAAGGTCTAGTCTAGAAAACTCTGCAGAGATAATGCGCGCACTCAGGTTTTTCGATGGGTTCCATCCACATGGACATCGACAGCGAAATGGAACGACACACAGATTGATCGAGTCGTAGAGGACTGACAAGACAAGAGATTGCAGCGGAACCGTGAAGAATTATCGAAAAAAAGTTCAGATCGAGGGTGAGGGGTCAGTGCGGGCGACTGGTGGGGGCGGCGTGCTTGCCATGGCAAGAAAAACAAGCCTTACCTTGCCAGCCGACGAAATCGGCGCCATCACCTGGAGCACACCACTGTTAGTGAATTTCCCGCTTCTGAATCAAAGCCGATTACAACGCTCATGAATATTTCAGCTCTCGAGAGGAGAGACCCGTCCCATGCTCGAAGACAATAAAAGACGGTCCCTATCGAGTTCGACAGAATCGCCGCAAAAAAAATACGAGTAGGGGGGGGGGTGGTTTGGTTCTATGGGTCTCGAAGGAGTGCTACGCGTTTCTTATGTTTTCCCTTCAGCGGATTCCTTTCGGACGAGGTTTCTGGGAGGTCATTGATTCTGACTCGAACAGTTCAAGCCAGCCGAAGAGACTCGGCCGCTCCCCGAAGGAGTGACACCGAACTTCGAGTGATCAGTGTAGAGTGACTCAGTCATTTTCGGAACTGCAGCGTCGTTCTCCGGTTTTGCATAGTGGTTCTCCTCAGAGTTGTGTGTCTCATTCAGGGCGTGAAGCGCAACTTCTGACAACACGGCTCCTCAAGCAAAGCAGACTAGCATCTCCGATTTCAATGAGCTTACCGGGCCGACTGGGATCCATATTATTGGCCATCATTGGTTGGCCGGGCATTCCTCCGGGTCCACTCTGCGGAGAAAGCACAGGAATGAGTCTGGAGCCTTATAGTAAGAGACTTAAATTGATTTCAAGAGACATTTCTTATCTATGGTTTCATCTGGTTGATACAATTTTACCGCGTGAGGGCATTTCGAGCCGCGCTTACGCTAGAGGCACTCACATTGAAATCTTGTTGGGGCATACGGACTCCTGGTCGTGGACCTCCAGAGAATCGGGGGTTCATGAAGGGCTGCAATTTGTTATTTCAAGTCAAGTAGTCTTATAGGGTAGCCGATCCACTCAGGGGCGGAAAACCAGAGTAGTAAGAGCTCAGAATGAATCTTTCGGCTAGGCCATGCGGATTGAGATGCGGATTGAGATCAATCATATTCATAAGCATCCATCCACACGAAACTATGATACTTCCGCCGTTCTGATTCGTCCTTGATCAGCCTCGACTGGTTCACAGCAGATCCTCGTTATAACGGACCCGCATATGAGGCATAGGCACTCGGTGACTGCAGACCGATTGCCCGGTCTCGGACAAGGCTGGGGGATGTCTAATGCTAAGCGACTCGGCTACAGCGGACCCGATGACGGACACTAGGACATAACAGACTGATTTCTAGGTCCTATATCTTTTCTAGGTTCCCCGGTCCTACATCCTCGCATGCTCCACGAATCGGTTATAACATTTGACGCAGGCGATAGCCTGATGAACGATTCGCAATGTTTTTCGCCCTCGTGCGCGCCGTAAGGAGGCTGCAGCGGTTTCACCGGTAATTTTGAGGCACCATCCCGTCTCAGAGCCCATCATCCGATACAACGGGGTCCGCACATGACCGTCGGTATTGACCGGTCGCTTCAAGTCTGTCATAACAAGGTTCTACTGCACTACGACCGAGCCAAGGATACGATTTCCGCAGGCGCCGTAGAACAGCTATATTCTGGCCGTGTCGGAAGTTTCAAGCACCGAGGCTCCCCGGTTGGCCATGTCGATACGTATTCGAGAGGTATGAGTCGCTAAGAGGATTGCGGAATGCCAAGAGAGCCGAGCTGGGGGAGTCTGGAGCATTTAGCAGCGGATTCAAGAGTGACTTCGACGAGCATGCGCATGCTTCGACAAACAAGCAGCTATTCAAGCATTCTAATGGAGGTGATCGATCGCCGAGTCAGTTCCCGAGGGTGGGGGAGGGGTGACTGACAGCCTACCTGGTTGGGCGGGATCATCTGCGGGTTCGGAGGATGGGGAGAAGCGCCTCCCCCGGGGGTTGGTGGCCCCACGGGTGGTGCACCGGGGGGAGATGGTCGCATATGAGGCGAGTTCTGAAGACGGAACCACATAGACACGATATAGATACACATGGAAGGAATAGAGGCACTAGAGGGACGACAGAATCAAGGATGAATGCATGGAGGGTTCAAGAGAAGACAGATGAATATACGATAGGGCGGTGACAGAGAGCGTCGACAAGGCCGCCGGACACCGGGTCCGTCGACCACTTCTGGGATTCAGCGACCGAATGAGAAAAAAAAAGACGAAAAAGAAGCAGTTGACACAATTATCCCATGATCACATTCTGATTCGACTTCAAGGGTGGGAGCGTGAGTTGATAACTTCATCGGCAGAGAATTTGTACCTTGCTGGCAACGTTTACATAAAATCCAGAGCGGGTGTCTCAGACCAAGTTCTTCAGATCACAGGGCTTTTCTGTACACAAGAGGCAAACGACACAAAAGCAGCCGCGGTGCCGATGAGGAGTGAATGAGGAAACGGACGCGTGAGGCTCAAGCACGTACCAAAGAACTGTCTTCCGAAAAACTCTTCTCTCAAGGGTTGGGGGCATATTGCCTGAATCTTCCTCTCTAAGCAGCGTAGTTGAATCGATAACGTCAGCAATCAACCGATCAAGAATGAATTTTGTGGCTTCAAATTTGTAAACTACATGTCCCACGGAACGGCGACATGCAAACGGTGAAACGCGAAGACAAGTCAGGGAATCGACTGACAACCGCACCAGGGCAGCTAGAATCCTCAGAATCAAGCGGGGTCGCGTATCATATCCCGTCTCCGATCCTGTCCTCCCTCTTCCCCAGTTCGACAGAAAGCGACCTACGCCCGGATTCAACTTGGTTCCAAATTCTAATTAATCTATGGAACCAGCTGCCATCAATATTGACGCCGCCCTTGCCGACTCCACTTATCTTTGTGAATGCGTTAACTTACATGGACAATTCCGTTGACCGCATATTGTCCGTTATTTACAAAACCCTGCAACAAGGTCGATCGCAACGTTAAATCGGTGCTCAAACCCTGTTCGCGGGCGACCAGGACACCGAGGGAACATGAAATTTCTCATATAGTTCATCGATTGTGACTTGTTATTCGCAGGACAATGCCTGTCAGACTCTCCCTCTCCCGAAAGATGTGGTTGCGCGGAAAGTTTTTTTCAGCTTATTCTGCCGCAGTTGTTCAGCGGCCATCAGGATCATTCAGAAGATTGAGGGAAGGGGAACGCGGATAGCGAAAAGAAACTGATCAAGTCAGTGACCTTTCTGCTCTCTGAAGCGCCGGAGCCGTTGCTGGATCGGCGGTCGTTCACAACGTGAGACTTTGTCCGTCCGTTCTTCCCTCAATCCGCCGTCGGTCCGCTCCCAATTCGCTCGCCTATGAAGCTTCGAGTGGACGATCTACTGACCGCACAGGCGACCCGAAGGGAGGGCCAACGGACAAAGACTTCAGTCATGAATGCCAGCGAAGGCCGTCCGATTTCGCGAATATCGGCGGGGAAATAGAACACATCCGTCCATGTGATTCTCGCTCCTGCAGGATAGGAGCGACAGATGTGTATTTGCTCGTCTTCTTCCACCATTTTGCAGCCGAGATCGATTCCTCCGCTTCTCGGATCAGAAGAATTGACAGAATCACAGTCCCCGATGTCGGGGTATTTACGTCTCCGAGGTCAGCAAATGCGCTCGACTAATTCGCCGAGCTGAGAGAGGGAATCGCAATCGCACGTCGGGAGTCTCCAACAATCGAAAAAATCTCCGAATGAGGGTGATAGTGCGCCTGCTTTTCTCTGTCGCAGATTCTTGATTCAATAGTTGGATGCTTGGTTGGCGGGTATAGGGCGAAGCAACGGATGGACAGAATCGTTGTGTGGACTCGGGGGAGCAAGGGGCTACAAGAGGGGCAGAGGAGACGGGGGAACGCAGTTAGGGGGGATTGGGAGCGAGAATAGAGTACGAGAGGGTAGGGGGCGGCAGGCAGGCGGGCAAGCAGCCGGCGAGGAACGGACGAATGGTGCAACGAACGGAAGGCAGGCGGGTGGACCGGCGGCGGGCGGCTTATACAGATAATGTGGAGAGGAACCCTCATGGTAGAAGAAGAAGGAGACGACGACAACGACGACGAAAGCGCCCTCTGGCCAAATCAACACCCACCCCCGATGCCCTCAGCTATGTTCCCGACCCGCGCTTTCCCGGTTCACCCGCCCTGCTGCTTTCTCTTCTCTCCTTTCTCGTCGCTCCCCTGTACCTTCCTGCTACTACCAGCCCCCCTCTCAGCCCAGTTCCTCCGATTGGCCTCGCGGGCCTCTGACTCTGAACCTAGGCAAACGTTCCGTATGGCTGACTCTCTCCTCTCGTACTTCTCCCTAGGCCGCCGCATGGGTATCTACAGATACTGATCGGCGTGATTCTCCTTGTCAGTCGCCATTTCTCGGGGACTCAATCGTCTTGGCAATTCACGAGACGCTGAGTTGCTCACTGTGTTTCTCACCTCACCCTTCAAACGGCTAACAATTCAGAACGCCGACGGATGGATGACACAGCCAGCGCACAGTCTGGCCCAGTGAGTCCCGTCCGCTAGATACCGATGACAATTTTTTTCTCACACTAGATCGTTCAGTTGTCCGAGAATCGTTTGGACGCTCCACATGAGACGGCGAGCCGATGATTAGTAGTAATCGGTCTCCCTCGAGGTTCCGGCATTGCACCGTGAGCTCATTGATTCGGGGAGCCGCATCGAAAGAGAAACTGTAGGGAGATGAGCTTTCTGAGTATACTTGTCAGCTGCCCAAGGCCAACACGCTCCCGTCGCTGACTAGCAACCATGGAGAGCGACGTCTGTGCCGCCAACGAATTCCCCACGTGTCCTGCAATTGAGCGGCTAGCAAAATCTCCAAATCAAGGCTTGAACCGGCGGAGAGCGGTTCTCTCCGAATTATTCGTACCACGCCGCGACTTGTGCAGCAACTGCATGGTTGGCGGCGTCTCACAGCGAGAGCAACCCGCCAGCCCAGTCCTTTCGACGAGCTCCTTCTCATTCGTTCGCTCTCTTGTCGTTCGTTCGTTCTGTCCTGGCTCCTCTCACTCGTTTTCCTTGCTGCCCCCCGATTTCCGAGCTGTACCCCCTGCCTGAGGAGCAGCAGCAGGAGAAGCCACCGCCGCCCCGTCTCCCTCTGGTCCCCGGATTCTAGGGGTAAGGGGGATCCGAATAGGGGGAGGGGGGTGCAGGGGATTTGGGCCGGAGAGCGGGGAATAGAGGCTTCACAGATGGAAGACGGCCATTGCAGAGGGGACACACAAGAGGGAGAGGTGGGACGCCCAAGCTCCGAGCGGGGGAAGCAGAGAGCACAAGGGAGCGGGCAGCGGCTGGCACGAAGGGAGGGAACGGGAGCGCACGAGGATAGTGGAAGGACGAGACGACGGATAGAGGGAGGAAACGGTTGCCCGGACCAACGGACCGACGAATGGGGCGACAGACAGACGGACGAGGGGAAACCTAGGCCGTTTCTTTCGATGCGCTCTTCGTTCGCTCTTTCATCATCCATACTCGCTCTTTCGCTTTCTCTCTCGTTCGCTTCCCCCCCTCGCTGGCATACAAGAGCCCTGACCGGAGAGGCAAGCCGGCAGGCTAGCGAGCGAGCGAGCTTGAGGGGAGCTGGCGAGCGAAGAGTCGACCCAGCCAGCCAGTCAAAGGAAGGAAGGGAGGAATCGAGCGAGCGGGCGGGCGGGCGGCCAAGCAGCACACCAGCAGCGGAGAGGACCTGCGCTAGAAAACGGGGCCTGTAACCGGTCTGCCTGCTGGCCCGCTTGCTTGTTGGGTCGCCTACACTATGCACCCCACCGTCCTGACTTGTTTCCTCTCTCTCTCCCCTATTCCCTTGTCTCCTTGATGGGGTTAGAGAAGAGGGGAGCGGGAGAGAAGGGATAAGGGCGGTAGCGGTGAGGGAAAACTGCGGGAAAAACGAGAGGAGTCGGCTCGGGCATAGATGGACAGGGGAGGAGCAGCTGAGGAAGAAAGCGGAAAAGGGGCAAGAGTGGCACCGGCATACAGCGAACGTGCAGGGAAGAGACCCCGCGAACAGTCTCCATTGAGAGAACACGTTGCCGCCGCCAGTTTTCCCACCGTTTCTGTGCGCTGCGCCTCTGGCAGGGCAACACGTCGTGCAGACGAGCTGATGATCAAAACCATCGAATGGGTCGTGGGGAATAGAAATATCATGGAGCTCGGTCGGAGCACGAATGCGTTTCGCGGATAATGCCGTTGAACGTGCGATCACCATGCGGCTGGCCGATAGAAAGCAGAAGTCGCCCGAAAGAGTCTCGAACGGAAATCTGCTCTACAGCGATTCAGCTACAGTCCGTCGCTGGAAGTCTACTCCGACGCTTCCCCATCTGAGCCTCGTGACCATCAAAATCTCAAGACTCGCCACCGAATCTCTCAGGTTCACGTAGACGTCAGTGTGGAAGCTCTCGATTCCGTCCGCTCCTCAGCGAGACGAACCCGAAGTAAGACATCGAACAATGCTTCGATCGAGTTTCGTTCGCTGCTGCATCTCGAGCCGAGAATCTCATGAGCCTAGCGGCTGTCATATCGTGACCGGAGAATGAGACAGCCGGGCGGACTGTCGGCCTGCTAGTACGTCAACGAGCATATGAGTCGACGGAATTCAACGACTGAAGGCCGAAAAGCAGAGCCGAGTCGAGCTTGGAGCTGCACGCACGGTAGCCAAGGAGAATCCATAACATGGCAACATAATCCATAGAATCGATTCAACAGGTTGCCCGCTGCTAAATGACATCTCAGGTTGACAGCAGTGTGAACAGACGGATTATTCCGACCCGTCAATCGGAACCGCAATCCAACGGACTGAATTCCGACCTCGAGCTTCAGCCACAGCTTTCCCATAGGCTCGCGCAGAATGCTCAATAGAGTAATGCTCGGAGAAGGAATCGTTAATAGTTGGCCGATACTCTCTCTGTGACAATAGAAATGGAGAAGCGGTTCGTTTTCCAATGATGCACTCGTATCAAAGATGTTTGAACTGATCAATGGGAACGAGTAGACTTGGTAGTTCGTTTGAATTAGGAACCTTGGATGGAGCCGGGCGGCCGCGAGACAAGTACTTTTAGGTCGGCTTACTAGCGGCAAAAAAGAAGAGACGGTCATCATAACGCACTTGAGAGACTAAATCTCCCAGGTGATAAACGATGAAGTGATTCTCTCCCGCTTATCACCGTGGGAAACTATTGCTAACACGGAATGGTCGGTGATATTGGCGTCAGGCTCTAATATCGCTGACAAGTTGACTGCAATCGCATCGGGCGGACCGATCGACAACACCCTTTTCACGTGAAAGAATGAGCCCGCTGAGCTCGCCCGATGACGAACTATGCATGCCGGAATTGACGATTGAAACTTCCCCAGATAAAACGGTCGCGTCTCAATGAAGAAAGTTCGATACTCACGTAGTCATGGAAGGCTTTAGCTTCGCTAGAGTGTTCGCACGAATCTCTCCGCTCTGGCGCAGCACAATAGAGGTCCCAAAACACACTGGAAGGTTATTTCTCCATGAGACCAGATGATTCAGCTCTTTCTTATATACTCGAGGAGTAGAATCACTCCGAGGAATCCTGGGTCAGGAAATAGAGCCGGGAGCTAACTCACCACCACCAGGAATGGAGGAACCCTGGCGGTTCTCCTAACGTGATATTTTTCTCCCACCGGATCTGGAAAGATGAAGTTTATCATGAGAACTCGCGGAGAGCGCATGAGCCGACGCTGCTCGAATGACGTGACCCACGCCCGCTCCATCGGGATCCGGAGGGGCGAGGTCATTGTCTCTACAAACGTCCTGGGGCTAATCTCTCCATCTATGATGGCTGATGCTGTTACCTTCAGATATACTTTTCGTCGCAGGATGATTATTGTGGTCCAGCCCCCAGGAACATAATTCCGAGGCTCCTGCATCCCTCGGACGGGGTCACAATAATCGCCTTCCACCGAAATCGTGCAGATTGCGCGAGATAATAAAACAGGGAGATTCGATATGCTCGTTTTCAAATTAGGCATTCCCATAGTACGGGGGAGGGGGACTGATTCTACACAATCGTCGATCGCTCGCATTGTCAGCTTTCCAGGGGCCCGATTTTTTTAGTGGTTTCCGCTTTGAAAGGTTCTCGGAGATCCTCCCATACGGGTGATAATACAAAGAATTGACCGGGATGCCCGGACTCACCTCTGATAGAAATGTTTGTGCAGCCTTCTGGGCACCGACGTGCAGCAAATATTCATAAACATACAGCGCCAGCCTGGAAACGAACAAGAAAATCATTCAGTATGCCGTGACTATCGGTCCCGATGTTGAGATTCGTTGGGCAGGCTCGCCTTGCTAGCGATTCACTGCGATCCGGAGCGCCGACGCGAGCACAACGGATCAAGAACTTCCATGATTGGGAGCGTTTGACCCCAGCAGTCGCTAGCTTCAAGGGAATCAAGCGGAGGTGTCTCACAAAGAGCAAATACTAACTTTTCTCTGGCCTGTGCATCCGAGGGCACTGTCGAATTTTTGCTTTTTGCATACATGGCGGAATTCTTGTTGAGGTTCACATCCAGTTGATCAGTCAGATCACTTCGATCCTTCGTATCGTTGTTCGTGTGATCTCCGTCTCTTGCACGCTCGGATTACTTATAACATGGAGCGGTCCCCGGAGTTTCTCCTCAATGTTCAGCGAAGAGAAGGATACGGGAAGCAGGTAGTAGAGCTGATGACTGAGTGCAGATGGATGCGTGTCTGTGTGTCGACGTATTAGAGCTTTCAGCTCGTCTTCCCGCTCCGACCCTATCGGGGTGACGATTTAGAGAAGGCGACGAATATCTTAGGATGATTCCTGAACTCCATTGTCGATAACGATGGTTCAATTCCACATTTTGAATCCGTTGATCATCTGTAATCAAGCGAGACACACACCATCAATGGCAAACTTGGGAGTTCCTGATGCCCCATCGATTGCGAACTTACGCCGTTGACCCTAATCCGTGACAATATGAAGAGACCAGGCGACAGCTCAGAGCTACGTACCCCAGCGGTCGTGACGCACCCCATGGTACATGGGAGCCAACGAACATTTCTCAGTCATCACCAATCTCGGAACAGTTTTTTCCTAACGCGAACTGCTCTTGATGCCCCGCTTAATGGCTTCTACGGGGAAGCTCAATACGAATAAAATTCGGGCTTAGCTTCGACGAGACCACGATAGACTCGAACGAAGATGCGAGCCCATGCTTATTTGTGTTTCTCAACTCGCAGTACCGACGACGTTGACTTCGCGACCAGGAGAACATCACAGATCGTCGTCTGAGCAAGGGTCCACCAGCGGATTCTGGATTCCTTTCTGGGGAGGACTCGGGATCGATCTCCCGAGATGGCTAGTTCACTACGCCCTGCTTGTTGAGTCTCGTTCGCGGAAAATCGCGGAACGCGAAAGTTTGAATCGAGCTCACAGAGTCTGCACTCCTATCCGAAGTAGGCTTCAACTCGAACAAGATCCTGATCGGTCGGATTCAGATGTTCCAAAAATTAGATTACCTCGCTTCACACAAGAGCGTCCCGGTCGCAGAAAAAGCTGGGGAGCCGAACCAGCAACACCTACGGAAGCTCCCCAATAGCGAGCTGTGGGGGCCCACTATTGAATTCCGGGAATTTCCGTCAAACTCCAGACCTTCCGGCCCCGGCTATCACGATGTCCATCGCGCTGGAACCCTCGTGTACGCAGGCTTGGTCGGTATATGGTCGAGAGTAGCATGAATGAAGTTCAGATCGATTCGAACATCGGTATTCATCGGTAAGGATCAGGGATGGAATCGGGGCTCGAGATCAGAGCCGGCAATCCGAACACGAAGCTACGATATTGATTGGCCAGATCGGACGCGTTGGCAACGCAGACTGCAAGCATCTAGGTGACTCTGATAATTAAGGACGAATTCTCGCCAATGCCCGAGATATGTGCATGCAGCCTCCACACCCGCGGCTGGACTCCGTGTGAGCCCTTCCGCTGGAAAATCGCTGGCTACTCCGTGTGCTTTCCGCAGCCGACCATGCATCAGGGAGCCAAGTCCCGGTCCTGCTGAGGTACAGGGAACTATGGACTTCATTCGCGAACTCTAGGATTGGTTTTCATCTCACAAGTGCTCAAGAGGGGTTTCAGATCGATGTTGACATGGGATCTCCCCGGATTGTAAGAGTCAGGGGCAGCCGACTCGGACGGTTCCCACAGCTCTCCGGCGTTTCTTTGTATGTATGCTGGTTCGGAAGAGGCCCGCGAACGATGCCTCCGAGACCCCAAAGATTTTCCAGAAGTCATATCTTTGTCGTATGATTTTTCAATATCCCCCAGACGCCGATCCTCGTCCTCGATCCAGCGAGCCTTCTCTGATTTGCTCAGAGCTATCACATGAATGATGTTGTCTCAGCAGAGAAAAAAGGTGCTCATGTCCACGCAGAAATGATGGGATACAGCGATCGTATTCGGAAGTCTCGAATCTATCAACGCATCCGATCATCTGAACCCTCGAAGAGAGCCCCTACTTACACACGTTGGGTATCGGTACTGAGAACGCAGGTGGAGTGAAGCCACGCGCCGGACTCGAAAACGCGACGGAAAACGAAGAAATTATTATTATTATTATTATTTCCTCTCTCCTTGAAGGAGCATCTCTCAGGGACGATGTGGGCATGAAGCGGGTCGAAATCGACTTCGCTCCGTTCAATGATAAAGTGGATTCCCACCCTGATGGAAGAACCCACTCAGTCAGTCGTTGATCTCCCCTATTCATGAGCCAACGATTAGGCGAAAGAAATCACTCCACGAGGTGTCCAAGAAAGACATGTGTCAATCATATCACAGAGAGAAAGGGTTGGAAGTCGTCAAATCGAGACCTTGATTTTTGCTTCTGATATCGGTTGTACGCTCTTACGTTTTCCGGTAGACGAGGGGCCGATAAGCTTGACAACTTCTACGGGGAGTTCAGGCAATTGAGGCCCCGAACGTTCGGGCGATTCTAGCTTGATGCGCTCCGTGCGAGGACGAGAGTTCGCGGGGCATCTTCATGATATGTACCGTCGTATCTCAGAATATCCTAACGCGGCCCCGCAGCAGTGATATCGGCAGCATGTTTCTGCTCGGAAGCCGGCTTCGTCTGCACTTAAACGAACAACACGAGAGAAACTCGCGACGCCTGAAGCGAAGCCCACAGGGACTCACCCTGCTCTCGCGGCTTGTTTTTGTTTTGCTTCGAGGCGCTCTCAAGCTCTCTGAACCGTCGGAGCGGATGTCGCTATCGATACCAAAACGCTTGGAAACTGGAAAGCCTGGCGTATTTGCATCTCGACTCGAGAAAAATGAAGAAAACGCCACCTTCGTGATTGGCGGCGCCACGGAAAATTTCTGCCATCAGTCTGCCTGTTGGTGTTGTTGTTGTCGGCGCCGCGGCCGCTGATGCCAGAGCCACTGTCTCGTTGTTCCCATTCTTCTCGAACACCACAACTACCGTCGCCGCGTCTCCTCACGTCTGTCGTCTGCTAAGTTTCGAGACTCAGCTTGCTCGCTCCCTAGCCTCCTGCCAGCTTACTTTCTGCTCGACTACTGTGCGACTGATCTATTCCAAAACGAATACTCCGACCGATTGTCCGAAGTCTTAATTGAATCAACTGTCCACGTATTCATCGATAATTCTGAGACGACGCTTCCCAATAAACATGATTCGTCTGAGCATCCCTCAATGTTTTCTACCACACGATTTCGATCCTTGTGGACCCACCTGCTTCTCGATGTCACTGACGCTCGAACATCGAGCGTATCCGCTGTTGGCGCGGTTGCAAGCACCGCTATCTCGCGACGAGCTCGCTAGTCTCCTTCACACTTTGAAACAGCCGGACACTTTCTTGTTTTCAGTAAACGATGTATGTACGTGGGCCTGAGCGGCTCGCTTTCCTCAATCACTGACTCTCTCACTTTCCTGTCTGTTTCCGGAACTTCAGTCTATCGACCGGTGGACTGACGAACTGAGTGACTGACTGACTGAGTGAGTGACTGACTGGCCGACCGACCGACCGACCGACTGAGTGACGGATCGATTGAACGTCCGGACTGACTGACCGACTGACCAACCGACTGACCGACCGGTAGAGCCACCGACCGACTGTGCGTCCGTCCGTCCGTCAGTCTGTCCGTCTGGCTGCGTGCTCGCCTCGACGACTGTCGGAGTGGTTTGCCAACTGGCTCACTGGCTGGCTCCCTGGCTGACTGTCTGCCTGCCTGCTCGCTTTGTTCACTGCTCACAGACTCCGAAGGGTTCGTATTGGGACTGAGCTAGCTGCTGTTGGCAGCAGCCGCTAGCTGAAGCTCTCTCTCCTTATGATGGCGACGACGGCGGCGGCGCTGCTGCTGCTCTACTCGCAGCTAGCTGCTAGCCAGCTCACTCACTCACCCATTCTTACGGCCACACTCACACAGGCGCACAGCAGCACTCGCTCACACACATTCGCTCACCCATCCACTCGCTCCGACTCTCACGGTCTCGCGCTCTCACACACACCCACACTCGCAGCTCTCACACAGAGCCGGCCACCACCGCCATCGCTGCTCGCGGATATCCCACCACCACCAACCAACCCCACAGATGGGGGAGAGAAAGGGTGAGTGAGACTGAGAGGACCCATGAGAGGAGGGAGATTGCCTCCGCCGTGCTGACTTAAGGACAGACAGAAGCTCTTTCCCAAAGCGTGGATGTCCCTCTCCTCTTCTACCCCTGCCGGCGGCGCGGCGTTGCCACAGCCGCCGCTGTACATAGTTTTATTCTTGGTGGTGATGATGACGGCGGCGGGAGCGGCGGCAGCCGCCGCTTCTGGAGGCGGGGAGTACGCCAAGCGAAGGCGGCAGGCAGAGAATCGGAAACCACTGGCTGCTGAGTAGTGGTAGGGAAGGGAGGGTCGGAGCGAGCGAGTGGCACCATCCGATGTTCGTTGGTTCGTTCGTGAAGCTCGTTCGGTCGGAGCCGTCAGCGCGGCTCAGTAGTATAAACTGAGCGACCCGCTCGGCGTAACCATGACAACGCGCATTGATCTTTGCGCTCTTCCAACGCTCGGATACCCACCCCGGTCGCCGGCCCGTTGGCCCGCCGGCCGGCGGGTCGCTCGGACGCTCCCAGCGTCGACAGATCGTTCTAGTGGCTCCTCTCTCTGCTCACTTGCCAATGCCGCTGTCGCCGCTAGTGATGTCCTCGCTCGCTTGCTCGCTCGTCTCTGTCCTCGCTCGCTTGCTTCCTTGCTTCCTTCCCTCCTCTTTATTCTTTCCCCTCACTTTCCATCTCCCTTTCTGTCCATTTCCTTTCTCAACCCCTCACCCTGCAGGAGAACAGTGGATGCCAGTCTATCCTCTTCTGCCTGACATTTCCCACCAGGGACGTAGAAAGGACACAATCGTTTCGGAATTTTTTCCACAAACAGTTTCCCTGACCGAGTCGGGAAGGTCTTCCGAACTCTATCCCACCTCGATGACGCCATTGTCGCTCATCCTCTCCCCAAGTTCCCGTTCCGTTTCTAATCCGAACCTCCAAGTACAAAGGGCCATACAAAATCTCATCGCTGCTTCCCCCGAGTATTCGGCTCATCATGTCGTATCATATCAGTGGCCTGTCCATTTGGAATCAGAGTCGCGTGAAACGCAATCGTGAGGGATAGAAGAGTATTATCGGACCGATCTGACTTTCTCGGGATAGAAATCCAAGGACAATCCGCAGACCGGGGTGCTGATCAAGCGACACCTCTCGCCGAGTTGAGACATGGGATGGATGAGGCGTTCGGTTTCTCGATGAATGGAGTCGATCTGTGTTCCTCGCGAGGCATACTCCTCGCATCGCTGCATACGTGGAACTCCTGAAGTCCGAGGGAGCCGGTTCTTACCTTGAACTCAGAAGCGTGCTCTAGGTCAACGTTGGAGGGTATCCGCTCAAATAGTAGATTACTATGCGCCAGAGCAGTGCTTCCCGAGCTGTCAGGCCATCGGCTCCCATGAACTCCCGGTAAAAGATCTGAAGAATTTGAACATTGCCGTCGATCGGATGCTATGCATGGTCTATTCGAGGATCCTCGTAAAGTTTCCCGGGGAACACTGGTTCAGAACGAGAGTTCTTGAGCGATCTTCCCACCGCAAGACCCAGAGAGTTCCGGGCGCATTTATCGATCTTACTAAGGATCCCGTCCAGCCGCGTCCGCAGGGGAAGGGGGTTCACGGAGGCCATGGCTCTCTCTCAAATTGATAGTTCGTAATACTGAGGTCATAGGTCGATCACTTGATGAGAGTGGCATCCTTCCCAAGTTGATCTTCCGAAAGACATCACCCGGAATCTACTCCAAGGCGGAGAAACTTTTCGTTACATCGACGACGGTTGATGGGCTGGATCGATGCGGATCCTTCTCGTTCGCGGGTTCTATGCAGTCCACGATTGCTTACTCGTATAACAAGACTAGGCCCTATGTCTTAAAGACCACCAGACGCGACCCGTACCGAACGTCGAATGGAGGTGCTCTCCGCCGGACAGGAGGGACCCCTCAACGATGGATGCAGGCCAATCTGAAATTTTCTATCTCTGAGCTTTCGCTGGGGGATCAATCTTCCCCACTCAAAGATCAATAGATAGCTCTGGAACTGTTTAGAAAATTTATTGATCAGCATGCTCCCGCCCCTCGCATTCCGCAGCCCCCCTGCCGAAACCAATGAGATTAGGCTGATTAGCCGCGATTCTTCCCCACCGAACAACCTCCTGACGCCTGACCAGCTCTATGATCGTCACAAGCCACAGCATCTTCGAACTTCGCGCCACAGCAGTCTGCTCCCCGGGCGCAGTGATGTTCGATTCGCGTCGAGAGCGCGATCTGGACCTCTCATAGGGTTGTCGTACTATTCTGGAGAACGGCGAGTTGATTCCATGTCCAAATATTCAGGGGAGTGAATGAAATGGAACTGTCCAAATGAACTTCTCAAGAAACTATTCGAAGACAGCTCGCGGTAAAATCGATCATTTACGAATTGATGGAGCTTGGAGAGCACCGTACCTAAGGTAGTTTCAGGGAGGACACATTGTGCTCTTCAAGTCGTCGGAGTCTCATGAAATTAAGGGAGATTACAGCTCACCGCGCCTTTCCCCCTCATTCCTTGTCTTCCTCTAAGTCCGAAGCCTCTTCGTCACCTCCTGTCGGTACCATCAGTCGGATGGACCGAGGTAAAACTTGTGATACCGAATGTAGAAGCTCTCTTTACCCTCGGAGCGCTTCATGGGAGCTCGGGACATACTCGCGTTCTCCTAGAAATACCTCCATCAACGTAAGGGATCGGGGTGGATCTATCGGAGGATCCGAGATTCCCCGAAGTTAGAGAAAGACTCTGTAGAGCCCGGAGAACGCTTGAAGAGTAGCGGCTTTGAAGGGTACCATAGGAGGGGCGCCTGGGAGCTCGCAGACAAGATACCATGTACCTTGATGAAGTACAAGCCTTGCCAGATATTTTCCCCAGTATGCTAGGCTTGGGAATCGGACACGGCTTGGATGGGATATAGGTATCAAAGAGCCCATTCTCGAGTTTTTTTTTATCGGCAGCGTTGTCGGAGCCTTACTTAGCCTAACTTCTTTGCGGGGCTTTCTGGAAAGCCACCTAATCTCATTCGTCGTCTCTTTCGTAGAGTAGAACACCGTGTGTATCGCGATGGAGTTCTCGGGCGTATCAGGCATGCTCATCGTCAGTTCTCGCCAGATATTACGACGGACTTCAGCGGGGAGGTTGAGTTCACGAGGAGGGACAAAGTATCGATGTGGCTTCGGAACTGAATCTAACAGTGATGATATCCACAGATGAGTCTTTCCTACGAGGAATTCTCGAGCCAAGCTCGAGAGTTTCAAGAAATCGCTGAGTCGCTAGACGACGGATGGCGACTGAAGGGAGTAAGTTTGAGCGGGCTCTCCGTACAGTTTCCTCATCCGTCCAGGATTCGTCAAAGAATATTGTTGGTGTTTCTCCGCTAATCAGGATCCGACGGTCCGATTCCGAACCAGCGAATCACCTGCTAGTGCCCCCGTTCAAGGTTGATCCCTGATCGGTGGCTAACTAGGTAATGACTTCCCTTCGCAGGCATCGGATGGCAAGCACTATTTATACAAGACGCAGTATTATACTCCACCCCAAGTCCTGAACCCCTGTAATGCCGACTGCTCCCGAGAGCAGTCAGTGGGTGCCACTGACTCCCAGGTCCGCGAAAGCCACGAAGACGGTCAGCAAACATTTGTCTGGGAATACAATATCGTCTACAGCGTCAGCTACGAGGTTCCCGCTTTATATTTCAATGTTTTCAAGCTCGGCTGTAAGTTGGAGGGTTCGATGTCGGACTCTGATAAGGCATTGATGTATATAGAATATAAACTACTCACATGGCGTCCATCGCCCTATACAAATCTTTTCTGAGTCCCGGGAACTTGATTCCTAGGTGCCGCACCCCTCAGCTTGGACGAGGTCTGGGATTTTTGTCGGCTCTTCGGTGCCCCCTTCGGGATGAATGCGGAGGATCTTTGGTCGACGGTAACTCAACAAGAGCATCCGAGCACTGGCGTCCCTAATTTCGCTCTACATCCTTGCAATACCCAGAGGATGATGCAGCACCTCCTAAACTCACTGCATTTCGAAAAGTGAGGTTCTGATAGGCATAATGTGGATGATCTTTGCGGTCGTAACCGCTTGAAGCTGAATTTTTTCCTTGCAGGAAGAACTATCTCATCACGTGGCTTTCATCTGTGGGACCTATTGTAGGCATCAGGATGGCGAACGCTTACTGTCCGGCCTTGTGATCGATGGCCAGCGACCGTTGAGATATTCGCCAAATAAAGAGATGGAATCATTGACGCGAACTATCGGAGATATTGTCCGAATGCTCTTCGAGCCTTCAGTGAAATGGCGCTGATTGACTGCAATCGCAGTTGTGGTGGACGCCGGCGCGCCTTGATTCTCGCCGTCATCGAATATGCTACCGAAGCTGTTCGTGAGTGGAACTGTAAAGTTTTGAGGACAACGAGGGAGTCTCTCCCCTCGATCAAAGACCCCTGCGTTTCTCAGTCGCTCTGAAGTCGATGAATCATATCTCAATACGCTCCAGAAGACGGTTTTGGACCATTAATGTGACCGGTCACAAGACCTGTCTTCCTTTGACCTTAGGCGCGTTTACTAAGCCAATATCTCGAGTCCCCAATCTCGACCGCGAATCATAGCCGTTATCGTTTCGTGTAAGAGTGAGAGATTTGCAAGACCCTCCCTGCGCACACCGCTGGGGAAGCCGGACCTCAGTACCCTGCCTTTGTCGCGCCTCTGCTAGCCTTCCCTACTGTTCACATACAGAAGAACTCAGTAGGTAGGATAGTTCGATTACCGAAGTAAACTCGAGTTCCGATCGACCCATATTTTCTTTCTTGCCAGTTCGCTCTTCAGGAATAACTCGGTCGATTCTCACTTGGAAATGAATTTATTCTGTCGAAATGTTTTCTCGTTCTCAATCGGCCCGGAGGGACGGACCCGCAGCTGAGCGGCCTGAAGGAAGTCTCTCGAGGAAATCTCATTCAAGTCCGCAGTTAATTGTTTTCTCTTCGAGTGAGTTGAGAGGAGTAAGTCAATTAGGCAAACATGTTGGGCCCCTTTCTCGGGAATATGTGGAGCAATGACAGATTCCTCGGTTCAATTCCATCATCGTAGAGCGGTCGGTCGACAAAGGCTGCGCCTGATACCACGGCAACGACAGGAATTGTTTGTATACAAATTTATCATACAAAATCGTGGTCTTTTCGTAAGCTCGCTTGCCCTGCTCGAAGCGGATATTCCCTCCATGGTCGAAATGAAGCAAGTACCGCCAGCGGTGAGAAAACTTTCCCTCTGCCTTATCGTATAAGTCAATCCGCCCTGGTCGGATCGATCGATTGATTGAATGATTGATTAAATGATGCTTCCCAGACGGAGATCCTAGATGGAGACTCCGACGGATTTGCCAGAAGACCGAAGCTCGTTCATCCCTAACCATGGAGCTTCCGCTGGCTTCCGCTGACCATGCATCCATAGAATGTGACTCTGTATCCAGAAGGCCCGATAGCGATATCGCACAGCTCCTCGACCAGACTCTTTGAACTGGTAGGCGTTGCGTCGTTTTCACATTCAACGACTACTACGATATGAAGCACAATCCAGAGTCCAAGGCACGGAGGTACCTCATGCCAAAATTATTCATCGTCATTGGAACGGGGAGGAAATTATACACCTCACGAGCTCTCAGTCCCGTGATCACAAGTTTTGACATGTCTGATTTCGACGAGGCCCGTTAATACGGAACGGCTGGTTAGTGCATACCCTCCAGGTTCGCCGTAACATCATTACAGGTCAAGAGTTTCAGAGGCGGGTGCCTGGTTCCACTCAGGGACGGTAGCCCTCCATTGTTGACATCGTATCGATGCTGGGGCGATTCCTAAAGCTGGCAAAGAGGGGGTTATGATTTAGGGGGGGGGGTGGAAGTTGCCGCTCATTCCTATCCTCTGAGGGAATTCGTCTCAATGACTCGATTGCCCGGACTCAATGTCACATTCAGTTGAAGGCTAGATCGTTGCAAGTGTTTCGAGCGAAGTAAAGCTCGCCAGTTTTTAATAAAAAATTACTCAAACAGCGACTCCCTCATTTTATCCTGTAGAGTGACATTCTCACATGACTCATCCACAGGGCTTGCCTAGCGCAGGCGCATCTGCATCCGATTTCCGATGTTCCGCGTCGACGGCGATAATCCGGGAGCTCAAAAATCGCGGATGGTTCCTCATCATCACATACGCCCAATCTTGATGATATTCATCTAGCTTTCGGATAATAGTCGCGAGAGACTTCTGTGCCGTACGGGCTCGCGATTTGCATCCCGTAGAAGTTGCTAAAAAGCAGCGCCGATAAGACCAGGCATGTCGGAGCTCTCGCTCCTCTCCCATGTGGTGAAGGTACTCGTTTCTTGAGCTCACTGCCTGCTATTCAGTGTTCAGATCATTTCGAGAAGAGTCCGGCGGTGACAAGTGAACTTAGCGTATCGCGAAATCATCCGAAAAATAGAATGACGGTCCGAATGCAAGTCTCCGTGTCTCTTCCATGATTTGGCGATTAGGTACAGTGGAATCTTCGAGAAGGCCTCCGCTTCTCAAGAAGTCGATTTGGAAACACTTTTGAGCTTGCATAAAGTAGCCGCTTCCGAGGGGCGCTGGTTCCGGATGGGTTCCGCGAGGATCTCACGGCACGTTTCAAAAGTATTTCTCCTACATTTGGGTACGTGAGTGTCTGTGTGTAGACTTGCTCTCGTGTCTTATCGCAATCATCTTTACATGTCACCGTACCTAATCACAGAGACTCACTGTTTTCTTCCCCTCATCTATGCGGACCACTATCTCGTGACGGAGTGCGACAGCTCATCGACAATTCCGCAGTCGATTGTTTGCTCAATGGAGAAAGAATCATATCGGTGGGGTTATGAACACTGTACAGATGAGTTGATGGGCGGCGGAAACGCTTCTCCTACCGCGCTCCAGTGAGAGCGATGAATGCCGTGAATGGGAGCATTGTTACACTCATTGATATATCCCATTCAGACGCGAATGCAACTCGAGAGATTGCATCTAGCCATCTTGGAAGATTAAGTTCCGCATCCTACCGATGGGTCGATTCGTTGAATTGGGTGGAACTTCTCCTTAGATTTAGGGAGGTGCACGTCGCGTGAGCGCGACCTGCAAAAATTGTTGCTGAATGGTGCGTCGTCCGTCTCCCGAAGAATCACTCGCTGTTTGGTATACAGGATCTTTGTCTAGTGTTGACTTTGTGTTCCACGACGGACTGAATTGGATACAGCTGCCTAAGCCAGTGAGTCATCCTACGAGCCGGACGCTGGCGACTAGAACGATCGCTTCTCTCGCTAATATACCGCATACCCATAATCGCCCTCAGGCCTCTCATCGCTACGAACACTCAGCTGAGAAATTTTAAGGATCAAACAAACTTCGGCTTGCATGCGCCCGCGCGAGCTCACACTCAGACAGGCTAACAGTATCTCGGTAAATCACTCGATCAGACAGAAAGGCGAGCGGTTCGCCCTCTCTGCATGCGATTTGGGGCAATACGGATAATTGCTTCTTTCACCCGAATCAATAGTTAACAGCCTCAATAGTATTTCTTCTGTATCGTAAAGTCGCTCCTCAAGGATGCGAATGATGGTATCTACAAGAATTCTCTGCCCTTCCGTACTAACCTTACCTAATCGCCTTTTCTTTGGAGGAAATCTTGGCCATTCTCTCACGTGTACCTCCGCAGCTCTAATCATGTATGCGCCTCCACCTCGAATTCGGCGCGAACGCCTGTCGGGAATATCTCCGCAGAATTCTGTAGTCATCCTGATGAATATTCAGACAGATCTTCCGAAAGGTCTGCAGGCTCTGTCAGCGGTGATTTTCCTTCCCTCGGTGTGCCCGAGGCCAACCTCTTGAAGCTCATCTTCCTAAGCGTCTCTCGTCACTATCACCTTCCATTGCAATTGAGATCGAGCGCCTCGTTTTCTAGAGACGAAATGATGACGTCTTCTTTCCGTTCTGCAATGCCACAGCTTTTCGGTAGGACTGTTTTGACCGTAGGGTTCTTATGCGGCCGTTGGAAGCTCAGAATCTCCTGAACCTCTCCGCCCCATGAAAGTCGATATGTTCCAGCTCTCCACCGGATGGTTGGGTCCCAGAGAGCTTGACAGAAGAGGTACAGTGCACCGAATTCTCTGAAGGCCCAAGCGATTACAAATTCCCACTTCGTGAAGGGTAACATGCCGTTCTGAAAAGAAGAGAAACTTTTTGAGGGGCAGTGTCGGTAAACCGACGAAAAGAGTCAGTATGGATAGACGGAACTTTTCAGTCACTGGCTCCGTGCCGTAGGAGCAGGATCGAATACCATAGAAGAGCTGAAGGCGCGACGGCCCTCGGCGGTTGGATCCATTTTAGAGACGCGCAAAATCGACTCTTTCCTTAGGATTCAGGTAGAAGCTCAGTACTCGGGACTGACGCAGATTCGAAAATTTCCAGATCTCGGATCGATTCCGCCGTTCCGCGATGACCAAGTGAGTGATGGCTCTCCTTGGTCTGCCGGGTGGATCCAGCTACCTACTACTATGCTGAGGAGGAACGGATCCATGGAGATGCGGCGCACAGACCGCCGACGCTTGGAATGCTAAGATAGGCCGATCCTCTCACCGACGTGATCGTTTACCGCCGACGAGAGTCTCCGTTCTTCTCAGCCGTCTTTAGTGGTGAGGTGACCGGTGAAGAGAGCATTCACGAACGACACGAGCAGCGCTCTCCGCGAGATGTCGTGGAAATTTACTCCGCTCGAGCTCAAGCGGCTCTGTCCGGTGCCCAGCGATATCGACATCGCTCTCGCTCAGACCCCGAAAGATATCGACGTTCTAGCAGCAGAAATCGGACTACAGCCCAACGAGTTCGATTGCTACGGCAAGCAGAAAGCCAAAGTTCATCTCGCCGCCTACGAGAGGCTCGAATCTCGGAAGAATGGTAATTACGTCCTGGTGACAGGCATAAACCCAACGCCGTTCGGTGAAGGTAAGAGCACAACGACCGTTGGTCTGTGTCAAGCTCTCGGGGCCTGCTTAAAGCAGAACGTATTCGCCTGCCTCCGACAACCTTCACAAGGTCCCACATTCGGCATAAAGGGTGGCGCAGCAGGCGGAGGCTACTCGCAAGTTATTCCGATGGTGGATTTCAACTTGCACCTCACCGGAGACATGCATGCAATCACAGCGGCCAACAATTTATTAGCGGCTCAAATAGACACTCGGATATTTCATGAGACCACCCAATCGGATGAAGCGCTCTTCAACCGACTTGTACCGAGAACCCAAGGAGAGCGTCACTTCTCAGCCATTCAGGTATGTCGACTCAAGAAACTCGGGATCTCAGCGAGATCACCGGCTGCTCTGACAGAAGCGGAAAGGCGCAGGTTCGTGAGATTAGACATCGACCCCTCGAGCATAACGTTCCATAGGGTGCTGGACACATCGGATCGTTACCTCCGCAAAATCACAATCGGTTTGGCCAATTCCGAAAGGGGGCTGAGCCGAGAAGCGCAGTTCAACATCACTCCTGCCAGCGAGGTCATGGCGGTATTGGCCTTGGCGACATCGTTAGATGACCTCAAGCAACGCCTAGGACGGATCGTGATAGGTACCAGTTTCGACGGCGAGCCTATCACCGCAGACGACTTGGGTTGCACAGGAGCCATGACTGTGTTGCTCAAGGAAGCCTTCTCACCCACATTGATGCAAACCCTAGAAGGGACTCCAGTGTTCGTTCACTGCGGTCCCTTTGCCAATATCGCACATGGCTGCTCGTCGGTAATCGCGGACAAGATCGCATTGAAGCTAGTTGGCGAGAATGGTTTCGTTGTGACCGAGGCTGGCTTCGGCGCAGACTTGGGAATGGAGAAATTTTTCAATATAAAATGCAGGTACTCGGGCTTGACGCCAAGCGTTGTGGTCATCGTTGCCACGATAAGGGCCCTGAAATGCCATGGCGGAGGACCACCGGTCGCACTGGGCTCCCCGCTGCCCGACGAGTACACGAAGGAAAATCTCGACCTGGTGCGAGAGGGATTCTGCAATCTCCGGAAACACTTGGAAAACTGCGCGAAGTTCGGCGTTCCGGCGGTTGTTGCCATAAATCGATTCAAATCTGACACCGAGAACGAGCTGCTCTTATTGAAAGAACTCTGCATTCGTCATGGAGCCGCGGCAGCAGCAGTCTCCAATCATTGGGCGGAAGGAGGCCAAGGCGCGCTCGAGCTTGCGAAATCCGTGCAGAGCGCCGCTCTCCATGCTACCAGCGCGTTTAAGTTCCTGTATCCTCTCGAAATGTCCATAGAGGAGAAGTTGGAGACCATCGCACGTGAAATTTACGGAGCGGGATCGATCGAGCTAAGTCAGAGAGCGAGGAAGAAGATCGCACTCTACGCAGAGCAGGGTTTCGATCGCTTGCCGCTGTGCATAGCTAAAACTCAACTTTCGTTATCGCACGACGCGAGCAAGAAGGGAGAACCACGGGGTTTCGCCTTCCCCGTAAGGGACGTTCATGCAAGCGTCGGCGCCGGCTTTCTCTACCCGTTGGCGGGTGACATAATGACAATGCCAGGCTTAAACACTCGGCCTTGTTTCTATGACATAGACCTTGACACAGAGACCGGTAGAGTCATGGGCCTATTCTAGCTCAACGGGAATGTTTCGATCCGAAGATGTTTCACGGCTCATTCGAGAGATTTCATGATTTCTGGATCTGTGGTATCCTCCGAACACGGAGAGTGGAGAGCGATCATTTTGCCGCCAATAAACGAAACGATAACAGAACAATTTTCAACTCCAGCAAACGACATCGCACGTACCTGAACTATAGAGAGTAGCAACCAGTCTAACAAAAACCAGATGAGCGAATGTATCAAGTAGACCGCGCAGACATCCCAGCCGAAGAGAAGACTCGTAGACCAGGCCACGCACAAGCCCAACAGCATGCATTCGGATAGTGGCTCCAGGACGATGAGCGCTGGCAGCATTGCATACCGCAGTTTCGTCCAACGCGTCAATCTCTGTTGGAAAAGCACCACATCGCATGTACCGCTGTTCTGCCAAGCGGGCTGCGATGACACGCTTATTTTCAGACCGCTAGAAGGAAGAATATGAAATCCGTATGAGCTATGACAGAATCACTCTGAAGGAGACAGGGTCTTATGTTCGAGTTCGATACCGGGGACGCATCCCTCGGATTCCGCAAGAGGACTGATGCCTCTGGAGCTCCCCGAGCCGCTCGAGCTCGCCTGCGCCCCTTACCGATCTGCGATTGCTTTCGCGAAAAAATAGTCTTCTGCGAGATATTTCGCAAAAGCTCGCAGCCCTCCAGCCTTGTCCAGTACGTCCTTCCTCATCAAGGCTGACATTCCTGTGGCGCAGTTGATTCCGAGCAGGTCACAGCAAAGATATATCCTCGCATGCGCCGTGCCGAAGAACACCTGCGGGGAAATTAGGCAAATGATCATTTCGGAACGACTCACGTATAATGTTCTTGGAATTTGGTGCTGTACTCGCACCTATCGGTGAATGGAAACGGAGTTTTCAGTTATCACGCTCTAACCTTTTCCAGTATTGCTGCGAAACCAGTTCGGTCACACGTGAATGGCATTTGGTGGACCAGACCGACATCCGGAGTCATGCACAGAACCATATCCAATAGTGTATCCTCTTTCATCCGGATGCCAGCATCCGAAACCATAACCAAAGGATATTTGGCTCCTCTGTACCCAGGCTCCATGTTATTTATTTTCGGATTCGGACCGATGTTCGAGCCGCCTACGGGAGATATGTCGTTAGTTTCGAGCTGGAATGGAATTTCCCATTCGTATCCTTTGCATGAAAGTCCGAGTCGAGAATTCACACGAACCGATGAATATCCGAGCAGCCACGTTAGGATGCTTCTTCATGAGGGCCTGGACTTGAGATATACTGGGATCATTCTCTTCTTGGACGCAGAACAACAATTCGTACTGAAACGCAGAACAAGATGGCTTGAAGCTGAGCTCAGTGGCTCCCTATCTTACATGGGTCGACTCGTTCTTGCCGTTCCTCTCTGACTCTCGTTTCGATCAATATCTTCAACCGGCTCGACTTTAGTCTGGAATCTTGGGATACACGGCAGTAGCTGGAGCAGAGGTCCCCGCGAGGGTGAGTCCAAATGATCCGCCCGGGTCGTACCCCCGGTCTTGCCGCTTGAAGTCACATAGGAAAACTCCGGAAGCTCTCGAATAATGTTACTTCTTCCGTTCGCTGGGCTCTTATGCGAGGATCACCAGGAGGGGAGACTGAGTCTAGCAAGGAAGATCTCGTCGAATAAGTCAAGAAAGATAGATCTGTGAGGGATTCAAGAACTTCAGCTCCATTTTTATTATCCACGATGCGTTGCGCTCATATTCGACGGTGTCTCTTGGTAGGACGTTTTGCTGAGGAACCTGCTTTCCCATCTGGTATTCCCCGAACCCTTTGTTGGGCGGTCGTGGATCTGCTCTTCATGGGTCTGTTTTCCGCTGTGTGTTGCTCGGTGACGCCCTCCTGTGACTGCTTCCTAGCGTCGAGCGCTTGTCGTTCCTTTCTTCGTTGCATTTTCGCCGCGTGCTTCTCTTGAGGTGTCCGCGTCTTCTTGACTTTCTCTGGACGCTTCCGCTTCTTCGGAGGCGGAGCGATGTCCTCAGGCTTGGTTTGGTATTGAGGCAGTTCAGGTATGACATTGTCCTGACCGTATAGTTCCGTTCCCTCACATAGACCGCTGTGGATTTTCACCAGTTTCAATGTGAGCCTTGGACCCAGCTCATAGAGCTTCAATGCGCTCTGTTTACCGGGAATGTTCCCCCTAGCACTGACTCCCTCTGGGCAGATTACCCGGTTCGTTCCAGCGAGTAGTTCGTCTGCCTCTGATTCAGACGCATCTGGATTGTCGACGAAATCCGATATATCTGTCAGGTTTCCGAGTTTGGGTATCTTCTTGTCCAGAAGTCGTTTCGCTGCTTTCGCGATTCCAGTAGGCACAACTTTTATCGCGTAGTGTCTCCATTCAACTACATCTCGCTCGCCGTTGTAGTTGAGCAGCAAGCAGCGCTTGACATTGTTCAGATTCACCTTGTTGATATTGATGCTAGGTAGCATGTTTTGGAACATCGTGGACATCAGCTTGAAGTGCATACCCGGACCGAGGAAGTTATTCTGGATGAGGAGTGCGCCCGACATGGGCCGATTCGCCATTTGTACGACTTTCTTCAAGGTTTTCCGGACGAGAGCGGCCGTGGTGAAGCTCCTTATTTCGAATGTCAGTGTCGGTCCGCGAGGCAAATGCATCACTCTCAGGAACATTTTCCCGCCGGTCGTCTTACTCAGAACCAGCATATGAGTCACGTGGAAGAAACCCGCCATGGCAACGAAGTCTTTCACTGTATTCTTCCGCTTTGTTTTCAGCTTCGAGGCTGTGAACGGCTCCATGACTTTCCGCACATCGGCGCATAGCTCTCGTTCGACTCTGTCGCTTTTGCCTTGTGTTATCACGAAAGTGTGTGGAGCTCTGATCAAATGCTGGGCTTCACCATCATCAGGGCCCTTCAATTGCTCGTCACTAAAATATCGGCCGGTTTTCGGTCGCTTGGTCACAATACGATGCACCATTGCGTCTCTCCGGATCGCATACCCGCCGCGATGAACCGCGAGTAGATAGACACGTGCGTCACTATCGACGACACCCACCACCACACACTCTCTGGCCACCGAACAACAAACACCAAACCAGCCACAGACACACGCGGCGCGCACACAGTTTGATAGCAGACCGTTTCGCTAGCAGACGACAGGAAGATGAGACGCTCTCTCCGTGAGAGACGCAATCACTGCAAACGGGAGGATAACGACGACAGGGGCTAATCCCTTTCGGCGTTGGAAGGGATCCAACCTCGCTCCGGAATCTGCGGTCCGTAGAGACAAATCATACGAAGGGGACAACGGCTCGTTTCGAAAGCAATCCCAGTCGCGTACCGGGGACTGAATGCCAGGCGTAATTGAATGCCGCGGCAGAGCTAGACGTACGATCGATGGGAACGCGGTTCGATTCAGGCGGGAGAAACCCTCGAGCCGAGCGGTGACTGGGCGGTACTGCCGAGGAGCGGCTCCGGAAGACCTTGAGCGGGCTTTGAGGCAGAAGACGAGTCATAAGTATGGGTATCCACGTAAGAGGATTCCGCTGCATGAGATGTACATACATACGAGAGACTTGGAGGTGCCTCGTCTCATGATAGCGATCGTAGTCGGCGAGCAATCATATTTTTCCAGCATCGCTCGCCCGCTCGCCACTAACGGACGGGACAACAACACGATATCCACTTCCACCTGAAGGCACGAGCGATTCGGTTGTCCCGAATCTGAGTGGGTCAGAGCACTGTCGAAACAGAAGAGAGGCATATGGCTCCCCCGTTTGACGGAGGGTTGCCAGTCAAGTCCAGTAGTGAAGAGCAATCTTCCCCTCGAACCATACCGGACCTCCAGACGAGCAAACCCTGGAGACTATACTTCGGTGTTGATGAACGAATCTAATGCAGTATCTCAGACACTCACCGTTGGATAATTCATAGTGAAAAACGATTCCAGGTTGCTGTACAAGTTACTGTCTACCCCGGTGAGCGGTTTCAGTATCGAGACGCCCTGAAGCGGCACTTCTAATGACGTGACGCTTTTCTTCCGATGTAGCTTCAATTTTCTGCAATGAGATCAAATCAGATTTAGGTCTTCAATAGGCGTTAATGCAGCGGAAACTCGGGGCTACTTCGATAAATCTACACACCGTTTCATACGCTACTGCGGCACATTGGCGTAGCGATCTACCGAGACATTCTGATGGAGCCGTCGACGAAAAGGCATTCCAAGCTTGACATACCGAGCGTGCTCACACCGGTCGATAACGCTAACTAAGTTCTTATCGGAGCTCGAGAGCAGCTGACGACTCAAGATTCCGACCAAGCCCGCTCTCATGCGACACTCGCGCACCGCATTTTCCGGCCCTTATTGCCGGTGTGGACGGGTGTCAATGTACCCGCGCCTTCGCAATTACGTGTAGACAACATCAGAGAACATAAACAGAGGATTTCCACTTCCACATATGAGCCACTCATAGCGGCGACCGTTGTCATAGGCTACCACGTCGATCGTTCCTCTTATGAGAGACTAACGGAAGCAGTCGGATGAGGAACGAGCCCTCTTCGACGCTGCCCGCTCCAAAGGCGCAAGTCAAATTCATGCATTGGGGAAGCATCATTTTCGACCGCTCCATCCGCATCGACGATGATGTTCCCCTGCGATGAAGAGATGGACCCGTCTACTAGGGACTTTCATGGCTTCCCCACAGTCTCTCTTATACCGTGGATGACAGTACTCGGTGAAATTCTAGTGGAATATTCGGTGCGCCCCCGAGAACTTAGTGTAGCCCGTCAAGTTCCGTCGTCAATGTCGATTGCCGATTCACCCAGGAAAACTCAAAGGGGGGAGGGCGGAGACTACTATGAGCCCACCGATACACTCAACTCACGACGCGAAGCATGACGGTGGAATGCGACCAGGGTAAACGGGAAAGCAACCCGGTCTCTAATTCTCGCTTCAGAGGCAGAGTCCGCATCGATCGGGTGAATCGATTGAGGTCGTGAGAATTGAAGGTCGTCAAGAATCCCCACCTTCCTCTCACATCGTCTCCGCGTTTCCTTATTCGTTCCTGTCTCCTTCCCGTGAATTTGGGTTTCCGTCAATTCCTTTGCAGATCTCGACGGCGTGACCGCGAAACGGCATAATTATTTGGCGGAAGGTGAAGTTCGCGAGGCTGTGTCCCGATATCGAACTTGTAAATCACGAGGGATGTTGCTTCATAGAGCCACTGCAGCGTGCAGGCGTCCTCGATATATTCGAAAAGGCTCGATTCGCTCGCAGCCCATCGTTGCAATGCAGAGGCGGAGCAGAGCATGGCGGGATTCTTCGGCTTGAGACAAGCGTCGAGGAATACGCATCGAAGGAGGCCTCAGATAAGGGCGAGCAACGAGGGAAACTGATAGACCAAGCCGACGAGAGTAGAGTGATGCATGCAGCGGAGAGTGAATGGAGCATGAAAGGCTGTTTCATTCGAGAACAGCATTTCGGCGCTCCCTGTTTCCGTGAGCTCGTATTTGCGCTCGTAATGCATCGATGCAAGCATTCGTCGTATGGATCACGAGGAAACAGCGGATCGGTGATGAGTGATCCGAACAGCTCATTCGAAAATATTCCATGAGTCGACCCGACTGCTGCTTCCAAGCGGGCATGAGCATCGATTGGCTTCTTGGAGGAAGGTCTCCGAGAGAGAGTTCGGCGAGCCGCAATCTTGATCAAGACGGTGAAGTAATAGGATTTTGCCGTCGTGAATTCTCGAATGGTCAATGCAGCGGAAAGTTTCAGCGCGGTAATGGAGCACAATTGTCTACCGACCAACGGGACCTAGATCACGCCCATCGATAGATTCCGCCGCAATAGATTTCTCAATCATTAAACGTCAGGCGACCCAAACATTATGGCTTCCTGTCCCTCAAAGATGCCTGATCTGGCCTGAGGAAGTGTACTTCGAAAAATGGGAATTTCTCCGATGTTTACGATATGATCATCCGGGGGGCGCAGGGAAATCACTTCGGACCGGATAGGACTCGAACCCGTAAAACCCGAAGCCTGCGCACCGCAAGAAATGCAACAGCTTTGCAACATCACCCTCAATGGGTGACGCCTGATGTCCAGGGTTTGGAAGGTCACAGCCGCAGCTCCTCGTCAGCCCGGAGAATCGTACGTCCCTTGGACTATCGATGGGATGGAGACTCGGACACCAATGATTGTATGTTTATCTGTGTCGTCAAGAACGAAATCAAGAGCTTCGTGGGCCCTCAGTCAGAGGGAATGGATCCAGCGAGAGAGAGCTCTCCATTCTGAGCTTGACGGGTCACGCCGCACATTCACCAAAACTCATTTCTCCGGGATTCCGTCTGAAATGGAGTTCGCCGGATCTGATTCAAGTGATTGTCCTCTCATATGTGAAGAAGGAGGATAAGCGGAATTTACAGGTACTAGAAGCGTGAAACGCTCGCCGCAATGCAATGCCCGAAATCGGCAGCGCGTCGCAATTAGTCTTTCCTCATTCTTGGGATGATGCCCTGTGCGGGAAATCTGTCAAGCTCGTCGGAATCACACCGGGAGAGCCTGGGCGCTAGAATCGCAGAAATGTTCCTGTGGTTTTTGAGCGAGACTTGGCATGATCGAATCTAGATCGAAACTCAATTTTTAAAGTCGATGAACATGATTGAAAAGCGCGCCGATGGATCATCGAACTGCTTTCGGGGTCCGTTGACCACTCAAAACCTAGCGTATACAGCCGAGTTTTCGTGGCCAACCTACTGCGGGACGCTTCGTCAAGCGTGTCTCACTCACGCCGTCCGAGGGTTGCCTCACATCCCTTCCAATGTATCATCCATATTTCATGGCATCAGACGCACAACATTTCCGACCCATGTAGATGCAGAAGAATCAAGATGAAGGTCAGCTGATTTCTCTGACACATCAGCTGTCCTTCGAGTCAGCGGATGAACTTCGCGAACCCTCGAGAAAGCTCGGATCGCTGTATGAGCTCGGAATCCTCCGGTCGGTTGCATGGAACTAATACACGGAATTGATAACCCTGCTCAGAGTGGACGGGAAGTGTTCGGGGGCGACAAGGACGACCCACACTCGAGCCGATGCAATTTAGACTCGATCCATCGATTTTCTGACGTATCCTGATGTCTCGGGGATATTGTACTACAAGCTATGAAATTAGGTTTTTCAAGAAGCTCTCAAGCTCTTGGTTATCGGCTGCCACGTGCCGGAATACAAAGTCTTACGGAGAATCAGAATGCAGACAAGTTTCGCTGTCAGCGGGGATTATTTATGTTTTGGAGAGTTCCCTTGGCGATATCGACTTCCTCAGATTGTCCAGGCGCGCAGAGCGGGAATTTTTCTCCCACCTCGAGAAACCCGGAAACCTCTCGAATCTAAAAGCGAAACATCGCATGACCTTGTGGTAGATGTCTACCGGTCCGGGCTAAAGACCTAGAAAAACATAGCATCGCCCAATCGCTTCGTTCTGTCTGCTCTTATTTCCCATCTGTTCATTCTGTTCATCGGATATTCCAGAGAACGAGCAAGCTAGTGACAAGCATGAGATCCCACATCTGGAGGGCGGAGGTGTACCGAGTGCAATATGAGTTTTCGGTCCTTCTGAGGCGATACGCTCTTCTAGCCAGCGGTAGAACATCTCTGCTCTATAGCATCCTGCCCCCTCCCCGTGGAGTCCAGAGCGGGTTCAGTTCGGCCTCATTGATGAATCTCCACGTCGATATCGTCGGCTCTTTTTCTGTTGCGCTTCGGCGAGCCAAATGGAGGAGTCACTTGAAGTAAGCTCCCCTTCTCCGAAGCGAACGTGGTCTCCTGATTACCCAGGGTCATTTCCGACGCGATTGCGTTGAATCATATCATTAGTCAGAGGTGTTCCGGAGGACTCGTGTCCTCGGAATCGTCATAGAATATATCTATGCGAGCATTCAGGGGCGTTCCTCAGGAAATATATGTCATCGACGGATGGGGGCCGACTCGATCCCTGTGAAGATAAGCGATTCCGAACGAACACCGTCGTTTGGAAAGCGAAACTCCACCGCGCCTCCCATGTGGAGTCGGTTGGGCCGGTCAAAAAGGCCAAAGCTCGACCGGATCAAGATGGAATTCGAGAACTTGACTTAGCAGAAATGGGACGACGGTGACGCGATCGTGAGCGATAGCGGATCGAACGGACCGTCAATTCGCCATGACATCGGAACGAGAACATGTTTTTGTAGAGAGGAAGTTAGCGCTCTCTGACTTGGATAAGCCTCATGTTGATTTCCGCATGTTGCTCGAGAGTCGTAATCGAGAGCCCATGTGTCGTGTATTGTCGGACATGCGGAGCTCTTGAACCGGGTCTATTTGACGATAGCTCACTTGACACTCCCGAGACTCGCGAGACTTACAACTGTTGAGTATCAACGACACTGAGTGAGTGTTACGACAACGATGTGGTCGCCGGCGACACGAAAATAGGCCGTCGCGGCACGCTTGCTCGTTCGCTCGCACGAACAAATTGACGGGAGGGACAATTGTCAGCATACACGGTATTGAAGAATCGCAGAACATAAATAGAAGCGTTGGAAAATTATTAGCAATCACTTCGAGACGTCCTCCGGGGTCTGGAGATTGTTCCATGCCTTCGAGAATTGCATGTGACTTCTAGCCTTAGACGGAGCATTGCTTTTTCCGCCTGGAAGCCGATGCCGCCTCGAACACCGGAGCGTATTCTTCGGACTAGGCGAGGAAAGTCTCGTAATGAATCCGGGCTGCACTGTACAGCCGATACGAACTCAATGAGCTTAGCTGTAACAACAGCGGCTCGGATCCAGAGTCGACCGCATCGACATTTTCTGCATTTGATCGCACACCTGAACGCATTTGATGAGGCATCAGTGCAATTACTGGCTGCGATGGTGCGCTCCGCAAGCACATCGCTCATCGCTCTCGATAAGAAGGACGGTACTGAGCGGAGTGGAGCTGTTTCGAACACAGATGTTTTTCGGCCTCACTTGATCAGCTGATCGGGCGGTGGCCGACTCTTCTGAAAGGAGAGTGCTGCGCGCGGAATCAGCCTTGAGTCACGGAATCCCGATGCGTCAACGCGCGAGTCAGGTGACTTAGTGTCGACATTATGAGGTCCGCGAAACGCTTAACTGAGCCGAGAGCCTTACGCCATTGAGCGGCGGGAAAATTACTTGTTCTTCGAGTGGACAAGAGGGCACCATCCATTCCACAGGTGAAAAGCAGGAAACGGAAGTGGACGAATTAGTCAGTAAGACTGGGTTCATTCGCTGCTGCCCGAATGCTGCCATGACCGGTGACTCAGAGGAACACCTTGGTCAATTCGGATGTCGTGTGCAACATTTCGATACTATATGAAGCTCCGCAAACGTATGGGTATCTCGAATTCCATCAAAGGAGACTCCATCCAGTCGATCGTGACTCGTTCCACGGGAGGAGCCGATCTTCTGGATGAAAAACAGTGCGGCACGACAAGCGAGCGATAGAATTCGGGGGTTCTTGGAGAAGCACCATTTCGATACGCTCTTATCGCTGTCACATTCGCTTTTTTGACGAGGTCAAGTCAGAGCCCGCTCATTCCCAACCTCTTGACGCATCGTTCAACCAGAAAGTAACTTCTGCTTTTGTGGGGTTTCCCTGTTGACATTTACAGCGCGACGTCGCACCGTCAGCGACCGGTCGTGTCATTCAGGCTGGAAGTCTGCCTGGAGAACATCATCACTTCCACGCGAACACTAGGATCACGTAGAGGGAACGCGCGACACATCTACCTTCGAGGTCCTCGAGCCCCTCCATGTGCGGAAAGCTTTCAGAAGCCGACCGGGGAGGGCTGAATCATCACGTGGCCTATGGGAACCGGCGTTTTAGGCACCGCTCGGGTTCACCGAATCAATCGCGGATGGGTATCCACACTTCATCACAACAGTTACACTCCCTGACAACGAACCGATACGCATAGTTTCGGTGGAGGCCTGGGCTGAGAGGATCCTGATGTTCGGTGTGAGCTCACTCATCTACCGCGAATCATTCACCCTACTCGGTTTTTGAAAAGCGAGCATGCTCATCGAATTGTTTGATAGCCACAAGACAGACAGGCAGCCCGCCCGCCTTCCTTAGTTCACCGCCTGCCTGCCTGCTTGCCTGACCGCCCGCCCGCCAAGCCCATCGTCGGCCTACTTGCCTGCTTCGTTTGCAGGCTTCTTACCCGCCAGCCCAGCGCTCCCATGCAAGCGGAGCTCCATTGTCGTGGTCGTCGGCAACAACAACATGGAGCGAGCATGAAAATATTCGATGGTGGCGAGGATGCACCGTAGCATGTAATTTCTAATTGGGGAACACGCAGATACCGAATCGACAAAACTAACCCGTTGACGATGGCGAGTAGATGGATAGTCCATGAGAGCAGCCATCCTCCTAGGAACAGAATCGCAAAGCCGTACAGAGTACACTGAAGAACTGACATGTTGTGTAGATGCATCCTGTCGGCTTCTGTTTTGCGGCGCCTGGTGGTGGTAGCACCGGGCTGCCCCACCTCACGCGTCACTGGCCGGGGGCTTTCGGGCTCTCCGCTGCGCTCCACGGCTCCGCCAGGCACTCCGCCACACTCCTCGCTGCCATAGGAGTACAGACAACGACGACGATTGACCGAGCAGCCGCTAAATGACGTCACCAACTGCTGCTACCCACCCTCAAAGTTACTCTTCTCTCTCTAGGAATAACTTTGCTACCCGACCAGCACTTAGCGTTCATTCATCGTCTACCCTTTCCACATAGAAGCTTCTCTCTAGATTCCGAATTCAAAAGTACGCGGCAACGATGCTTGTCTGGGACGCGGGAACGCCCGCGCCGCTGCGCGAGCGGGGAGTGCTGACGTGAGCGGCGCGACGGGAATGATCAGGGGAATGCCTTTGAAAAATGGATTAAAGAGGAGCCGATACCGGTCTTGGATGTCGTTCATCTCGGCTAGAATACATGGATAGATTCGTGTCTCTCGACGAGTTTAACATGATCTTTCTCGCTGACTGACAGAGTCAGACCATATGAGATCCAGTTCGGGGACATGGATCTGTGTGATAATAGCACGCGATTTTGTCCGCGATTGAAGTCGAACTTCGACATCCCGGTGCTTCCTGTGATTATTTCAAGACGAAAAAGCGGCGCGGTGCAATCGACTCTGAACACAGGTGGTCACGAGTAACGACGAAAGAGCCCGGAGCGGAGGATGGTGCTAGTTGAGCTACGGGCGGCTAATGATTTGAGAACATTCTCGGGCTACGGGGAAGATCTTGAGAAACGCCAACCACGAGTCGGGAGAGGATAGAATTTAATTGCGCCCCGTCAGGTAGTGCTGTCCTAGGAGAATTTACTTCTGTGGCGAAGCCCCGTGTTGAACTCCGCCCGATGGCTCCCGGCCACTGACTGAGAATATCCCACGAGAAAGCTGCTCGACCGCATCAAGTCGGATTCTGATCCGAAAAATCGATTTCCCGGAGACACCTCGAGACCATAACGCAGTTATAGCTGTGGCTAAGGCAGATGAGACGGGACTCTGGATGGCTCCAATCTCAAAGGCGATCAGTTCGACTTCCACAACCTGTCTGTAGAGGAGATCCATATCGATTTGACTATTACCCGTGTCGTCGGGCCGGATCCAAAGAACATTCGCAACCTAATGTTGAAAGCCGTAGACGACGAACTACAGCTGGTTGTCTCAGTCAGCGAAGCTCTTCTGAGCAGCGCAATACTTACTGATGATCCTACAGCCTATATATCGAATCATCTTGACGCGACGTCATTCGACCATCGACTGCAAGCGAGACTCTAGCTCCATCCTTCACTCCGTTTCTTTCCGACGGGTGACTCATCGATTCGCCAGATACCGACGGGCCCAACTCTTCATACGATAGGGACAAGTCACCTACGAATGAGAAGGACGATGATCAAAGACACATCAGAAGCCATTTCTCGGCTTCTCGGTGTGTGCTCGATTCAGGATCTGTGGAGTCCGGATCGAAATCCGCTTGCAGGAACAGTTCAGTCGAGCAGTGCCGTACCCCAGGAAGAGAGGGGATTGCTGATTCCCAAGGCGCGCTTCCCAGAGGACGCGATTCCCGACTCCGATGCTGGAAAAGGAGATATCTCAACGAAATTTCCAGCAACGCACACCAGACCCAAGTGGTGCGTGCCGGAAACCGAGGATAATCGGGCCTTAAGGGCGCCGAATCACGACCAGGGGGTTCGGGAAACGCCAAACCTTCAGGAAAGTTTCCACCCTGAGGCAAGAATCGTCCGATTCGCCCTCGGCGCCAGTTAAAACACCTCATAGGTTTGAGTCATACATGCTGCGGTCGCTCCGGAGCATTCCTCTATAACATTGCCGTCAATCCTGCTGGTGTCCAGTGATCGGCCCGACTCCGTCTGAGCGTGTCGGGACACCAACATCGCCAAACGCCCCCTAAATCATCGTAGGTCCTCCATATTTGTCTCGCCGTCTCAAGCTCATTCGTCTTCGGCCAATACCTCGAACAGGGCTCCCCCTTGAGGTCATGAGAAAGAGTACGCTTCGGAAATATATTGAATAAAGCATTTCCACAGATATTCATGTCACCTCACTGACGAGTTATGATCCAAGCCTCATTTCCACCTGACTCGAGCGTATACGGGAGTGAAGTGCTTTACCGGCGAGAGTGATCGGGATTCACTCTCTACGAAGGCGTTGGAGAGTGCCTCCTCTATCCTGTATCCATGCTCCCTGGGGTCTACCTCGGACTACGCAGAAAAACGGAAGGGTTCTTCATGAGACGGTACCCCCCCTGTTTGCGGCAGATGGTAGACAGATCTCACAGAGTTTCTCGGTATGATTCTCCGCCTCTCTGATTCTCTCAGTCTGAAAACATTCCAGTCCATCCTATAGCCTGCGTGACGCAGCGGCGGGGGTGGGTCGTCTTTCTGGCCAGATGGAACGCCAAAGGGGCTACCCTCCGTCCCGACACTCTCCAGTCGTAGTGCCGGAGTTCGCGCCACGATGAGGTGCGTCGTGATTCGTTGACCATGCATCTAACCCGAGGTGTCTTTCGATTCTGAGTTTTGTGTTCTGGGCACTCTCCAACGCGATTCGGTCAGCGCAAACCGCTTACTCTCTTGCGCGTCTTCCCGAGGACCGTCTTTTCGTTGCACTAGAAACTTACATTTACGTCTGGAATGGCGCATCGAACGCCGAGAATCGCTCCTCTCATGTCGAGGTCGGATCAAGATCCGCGGGAGACCTTGACCAATTGAGATGATAACTATCGGGTATTGTTTCAAACAGCTAGACAATCCGGGCGATAGAATTCGGGCAGGGGGGAAATCGCGAACCGAGCAAGCAGGACCCTCCGGTCGACGCAGTAACAGCGATTCCTACAATCAAGATGAAAGCAGCCTCGTGTTAGACTTGGATAGGCTCCGAATCTTGGAATGAAACAATACGCACTCGCAGAGCACAATCGGCTGCGTAAGAAGGGGGGTCTCAGGGCTCGGATCTGCCGCCGCGGGCCATACTTCGCTTGATCCGCGGGATTCGACTAATGACCGGACACGATTCCCGGCCCCCAAGTGACGATTGTATGGTATTCCGCGCGGGCGAGGATAGATAAAGCTGGTATCTCAATCCCGCGCGTGTACTCCGGAGGGGCTCGTCGCCGGTCGACTCCCGCCGGGATTCAAGGCCTCTCATGATGGACGGACCCCGACTCCACGGAGGAGCCCACAACGGGGAAACAGTCGAATCTCGACAGCCGTTTGTCCTCCATCATCCATTCGCTGTATTATCGAATTCCGCGGGTCGATGTGAAAACAGGCTAGGGATCCGCGAATCAATCTCAAGAGCGAAATTCTTGACTTACTTCTTCACATGACAGCGAGCGGAACGCGCGCCTAATATTGCCAGCGGCTCTCGAGGAGTGCTAGTTCAGAAAATATTACTGAGTACTGCGAAAAACGAGTGGCTTGATCGGGCTGAGACCACATCTAGTAACCCTTGTTTTTCTTCGGTCAAGTGGAACCGATCCTCCACTCGATTCCGATGTTCATCTGCGCAGTGCCTTTCAAGCTCAGGCAAATGACTCTTCTATTAAGAAGGGTCAAGTTCCCCGTACGGCTCATGCCTTCCATCTGAATGAGCAGATATCTGCACATCGAGGCATTTCCGGAGGAGAGCAATATAGTCTCGGGAACGACGCGTGAGCGCCCGAAAGGCCATTATAAGAAAAACAGACAGTACCGCGACGATACATCCCGGGGGAGCGGTGCGGATTCGGTTTCATCATTCAGCCCTTCAGCTCGACATCCGATGTCGGTTGCCTCCGGGGAGAATCGGGCCGGACAGGTTCGATCATTATCTTCAACTGAGAGCGATCGAGGGACGAATTTCGATTCCTCCTTTCAGGACTCGCGAATACAATCTCACGCGGTCGGTTCTCGCGATATTATCTTCCGCTTGAATTCTGGCTCGACGAGGAAAGCGAGGGGGAGGGGGTGGCTGCCGATCATTCGGCTCATGACCACGGAGGCTTCCTCGGGATTTCCCATTTGTTCAATGAGGGAAGAACGCTGAACTCAATGGGAAAGTCGAGAGCGAGGCATCAGATTCAAATGAAGAGAAGGAATCGAGGCCTCGCGGAAGATCCCTTTTCCTCTCAATATGTTTATACTGGCGCTGAATCATATCGCTTAGAGCTACTGAAGTGAATGAACTTCTGTGTGGCGTCGAAGGAGCCCTCGCTACGGAGAAGTCGCCCCATCTTCAACGCGGCGGGAGAGCTCACGAATTCTTCGGAGATGCTCCCTTGAATCGACGGACATGTTGTGATTGTGCTCGGTAAAAAGCGTGCGAGTCGGGTGGACCTTGTGAAGCCTATGTATTTCCTCTGTTACGGAGTCATCTGATCTCCCCCGAGCCTCCTTTGAGTTGTCGCCCGGGCAGCGAACATGCGCGCAACTATGTGGTTCTTCGTCCGCAGTTCCGTGCTGATGCTCAGTATGTTGAAGCAGTCCGAATATTCATTTCGAACATTGCATCTTTTGGTGGGGGAAGCCTTGTTCGGGATGATTCCTCCCCCTTGCTAGCTTGGTAAGGGTAACAGTCGTTTACTCCTTCAGTGTTGTCGTGTTCGATAGTCGTGGAACACAATGGAACCTCGGAGGCGACCACCAAGATCAAGCAGACTGTTAGCAGTATTCGGAATGATCTCCGCAACCGGGTCGGAAATCGGACGCGATTGCAGTCGAACAAGACTCACGGACTACAACCGGGTTTGGGATTTTTTGCGTAGGCTATTCTAGATCATCATCATTACCCAGAATATTAAATTATCAGTGATGCTGAATCCATGATTACGATTCAAGGTGATCCCTCGTCCGTTCGATTCCTAGTTTTCGGTGATTGGGGCGGGATCCCATTTTATCCGTACAGCACGGTGATCCAACGCCGAACTGCGAAACGGATGGCCTCTTTCGCTTCGAGGAAGGAAGTACAATTTATCCTGGCCCTCGGTGACAATTTCTATTTCACCGGGGTACGAGACGTCGACGACCGGAGATTCCAGGTGAGGAGATCACGAGACCATCCGAGAATAAAGTCCTGATCGCCGGGAACTTCCTGAATATTTTGGAGTGGATTTGAAATACCGAACTCGAATTCTAGAGAACATTCGAAGAAGTTTATTCCGATGGCTCAATGCGAATACCGTGGTATGTCATAGCCGGGAATCATGATCACGATGGAAATGTGTCAGCTCAAATAGCCTATTCCAAAGTCTCTAATAGATGGTGAGTGATCCTCGCGAAGATGCGTCGGACATTTGCAAATCATCTCGGCTCCGCTCCGTGCGACCTAATGATGACGGGAGGAATTCGATACACCGATGTATGACTGGCTGAATGCATTCTACTCATTATCCGCAGGATATTTCCCGACTATTACTACAGCCAAACATTCGAAATTCCGGGAACCGACAACGATACTCTGGACGTCTTCATGCTCGACACGGTCCTCATCTGTGGGAAAACAGACGGGAGTGAAGACGACCAGCCGAATCCTCAGACTCGCAGCAAAAACTATTCCAAACAATTTCGCTGGCTTATCGCGGAGCTGGAGAAGTCCAAGTAAGTAAAATTGAGTCGCCCTCGAGAAGCCCCCAAAAACCTCAGATAGATGGGGCTTACGCAGATGGTCACGGTAGACGCGGGATTCTCGACCGGACTTTCCCGTGGATCGAGATATCCCGGTGGTTTTAGATGAGCGATCTCGATCGATTTGTGGTGCGCGCTCGACGCTAGCACCAGCTCCGTTTCCCCTGGAATCTGACGGGCTCTGCGAGGTCCAATCTCAGTCCAAGCGAATTCTCGAGAGATTGCCTCAGATGAAAAAATCCGCACATTATTATTATCAGAGCAAGGTTTTGAGAAATGCTTTCTGATTCGTTCGTCAGTCAGGGGGAGGCGTCGGTGTTGGAACAGAGTCCTCTCGACCAGTGGTTCATCAGCAAAAAAGCTGCTAATCGATGCTATAGAATTATGGGTCGGAGACGGATATTGCGGATTCAACGCAACATCCGATTGCCGCCGCTGGGGAGCCGGACTTGGAGGCTCATGCGGTTCAATCAGCTTTCGCTGAGCGCTACCGGTGTGGCGCCAGATCCTGTGCTCGAAGAAATCCATGACGCCTTAAATAGATAATAAGCTCACCTCCGAAACTCATCCACGGTAACGCGGCCGAGAACCCTCTACTCCCCGAGCAGTCAGCGGCAAACGAGGATCTATAATGCATATTCGAGATAATGCAATGGATGACGAGAAAACTGTGCGGAATCGTATCCTTACTATGAACCAGGCCTGGGCGGCTAAGAGGTACTCTAAGGGCCCTAACTACCCACCCTGATATTTGTTCTAAAGTTGTGATCTCCGGTCACCTCTGAGCGATGATTTCTCGATTCCGTGAGGGTACGTGAGACGATGGGAGGGATTTCTTAGCAAGCATGTAGCGAAGCCAAGCGTGCGGAGTCGGATTTCCAACCTCGGTTTTAGCGTACTAGGCTCGGAAATCGTGGAAACCCCGACATTCATGCACGGAATCATACAAGCTTGAGACGTCTCACTAGTTCTCTTTCGCGAATCCCGGTGGAGATTCTCTCAATGCCACCCCTGGAGTTTTATCGTTTGTCTTGCAGGGCAAAGTACATCCTCGTTGCCGGTCATTACCCGATTTACTCTGCATGCTCACACGGGACCACGGACTGTTTAGTATCCGAAATGGTTCCAATCCTCCAGAAATACAAAGTGAACGCGTACTTAGCTGGCCATGACCATGATTTACAGGTGAGTGGCGTACCTATAGGTTGACTAATATCGATCATCATACCTCATTGACACACCTCAGGAAAAAAGTATGAGCTGCACCGAGTGCAGAGATCGGAAAAATTATTCAGCTCCGTAAACCCCCTCAGCACATAAGACCGGATCTTGGCGCCGGGAACTGGACTGTGGAGTACTTCGTGTCAGGTGCAACGAATTTCATCAATCCCTCATTGATCCACAAGCGAACGCTGCCGAAAGACTCATTGAGATTCGCTTGGGCTTCATTGTTCAGTTATGGCGGTTTCTCTTACATGGAGGTTGGAAAACAGAAGATGACCATGCAAATGTACAGCACAGCCGGAATCCTACTCCACGAACACGACATGCCGCCTAGATTCTGAGCGAGGACGATCTGTGTTGGATAGCATCAAGGCGTGCATCATCGCAGTACCGCCGAGAGCTTTGGGCTCGAGGCTCGTCGAGAAAGCGTCCGGTCTCCTACCAGTGTGGCGCCCGGACTTCGCTACCCCACGGATTCCCGTTGTTGTCGCTTTAGGTAATTTATATCGAGGAGATGAAGAGAACTGCTCTGAGCTTCCGCACTGTGATGTGCCCTTCCATGATGATCGCGGGAAATGAAAAAAATTTAATGGATGGGACTCGAAGCGGAGAATACCTCGGACACTACCGAGGACGATTGAGCCGTTCAGGACTCCGCCCGGAGATCATTCATAAGTTCGCGGCTGTCGGAAAGGGACGATATGTTTTCCTTGAGCCGAGCCCACGGCCGCTCAACATCCCCCAACATGGGTGAATTTTTTATAGAGTATCTGTATGGACATCTTTGCTATAGATCGGGAACCCCTCTTCGGTCCCCCAGAATATGGTCGAGAAAGCGTCCGTATCACAATAAAATGGAGAAATGGTCATTTCCGAGTCATCACTGATCAGACCCCTACTTGCGGAGCTGTGTTCGAGGGACGGTCAGTTCATCGACGCGATTGGAGCTCGATCGAGATCATCGATATGATCTTGCACCACTTCGACGCCGATAGGCAGGCGAGGTGGAGCATCCGAGACACCGAAGGCTCAAGCGTTCGCGGCAATCTATAAGCTGTCCCGGTCTCTGACTGAGGAATTGACTTACGACAGCTCGGCGGGAGAGTCGAGTAGCCCGACACCCTCCCCGTCGAGTGATAGGTTCCAGAGAAGACAATCGTTCTCGATGCAGTGTAGTGCGCTCATTGGTACCCCATCGGGACCTAGCAATTCTGGTACGGATAGGCGGTCGGAGGCGAACCTGGGGAGGAAGAAGCCGGAATCATCCTCTCCGCACCATTGGACCATGTGTTGCACCAAGTTGAGCATTCGAGTGGATTCCTAGGGATCGTACGCGTAACGCACACGGACATCCATTCCATATAGCAAGGGGGACATCATCGATAACATGTGCAGGGTGGGGCAGTATAAATACCCCATTTCCAATGATCCCCATGAACTCCGAACCGAGGCGGCTAGCGGAATCCTGCTTACAGTAGAATGACCACGAGGACTTGCAGTTTCAGAAAAAAAATCATCTGGTCCGAGACTCCTCACCAGGTGGACGTTCAAAGTTGACGTTTTGAAGTTCGGCTAACGTCATTCTCATAAGGCTCGGTATTGATTTCTGTGGAAAAAAAACATTTTCCTCGCTTTCCCGCTGATTCTCGTTCTCCAGCTTGGAGATATCGGACCAAAGGAATTTTTTCCTGAGAGGGCGAGTCCTCCTAAACATTTTGCCGCAAACAGAACTTCGCTAGCCCTCATGGTTCTGATTCCATGATCAAAACAAAATGGGGAGAATATACTGCCCCACCTTATACATCTCAGGCTTCTTCCGATTTCTGGGGGGAATATAATCCGATGGCATACTCCTGCCCTTATGTCCGGCATCGTCTTCGCTTGCATCGCATCTTCGTCTGAATCAAGAATGCCGCGGTATCGTATCACCCGGAGCCCGGAATAACGAGAGGAGTTTGTTGTATATACTTGAAAGTCAGCTGGTGTACGAGATCGGCGTATCCTCGAGGGATGTCTGAGTACAAGACTCCCCAAGGTTCTGTATGATCTATCTCTGGAGTAGTTGGACAGCCTGAAGAGCTTCTCGTGGACTGACGGGCTCGTCCTCTGGCCCCACCTTCCCTGAAAGACTCCGGTCCTGCTCCGATATCCGTGCTAAATGCTTCCACCATCTCATGCTCAATGAACGTCAAGCGCGCAGCATTGAGCGTCTTCATCGATTCTGACGTGTCAATGAAAATCGTGAGTCTGCGAGGGATCGAGATTCAGCGCCGAATCGGGCGGCCTCGGCCAGGACATCAGCATCCATAGTGCCGAAACCATATCGGAGAGCTCCCGGAAGGTATCGCTGGTCGCTGTTCGTCATTCGTCGGCCACAAATTGGACAGCCTGCAGGATATCGATCCATGAGCTGATCTCTACGGCTGTTAGCGAACATTTATTTGGGTTGCCGTCGATTGACTCCAAGATCGATGCAAGAATTTGCTGCCGATGAAGAACCTTCAAACTCGGAATTTTTCGAAGTCCATTGGGTGGAAGACTGATCAGTATTCGGCTGCGAAGTCTCCTCGTATGCTGTGGCCGATACCGTGTCAGCGTTCTTCCTCTGACCGTGCGTTTCCTTGGAATGCAATATCAACTTCTCGATCGTTCAAGCCAATCATGCGTAGCCTTGAAGCCCCAATGGCCAAATCTTTGAGCCAGGTGTCCGGATTTCTGAATGAGCACGTGACCTGATAAAGGTAATCGTTGGCTCAGGACACGATTGAACCGTTGATCAAAGACAACTCCGAGAGTCCGGGAGTCCCAGCGCGCTCGAATAATTTTTTCTTGCTCTAGGAGTCGTGTGATCGTAGTCTTCGGCTCACCACGGATCGGTGCCGGCTGTCGGTGACTGCTGCCCGGCGCTTGAGCCTTGATTTTACTGAGGATCGCTTTTTTCTCCTTCAATGTCAAGTCTCGAGGCGGGATCTTGCACAGGTAAATCGCTGTGCGAACGTACGGAGAGACGGATTTCCACGATCTTTCTGAGGCCAACCGTTTTGTAGACGACTGAAAACGGAGCGGATGAGGGGGTCTTGCTCTGCGGAGTTCTGCGTCCAAATCATATACCTCAAGAGGCTTCCGATCATCTCGACCGTAAGTGGATCCCCGCCGTCTCTCTAGCATCACTGATCGGGCGCGTCCGCATAACCTAATGCATCGGTGCGGATGCATTCGATGTTAAAATCGTATCCGAGCCACCGGAGGGCCCAGCACCTCCCGATCAGACGCGCGGCGGTCGTGTCGCTCAGACCTTTCATGTTCGTCGGCTGGAACGAGGCCACCAGGGGACGATGGTCAGTCTGTGAAGTGGGGCGCCGGCCCCTAATGAATTTGTGAAGCCACTCGACGGTGTGCACAAGGGCCAGTGTCTCTTTCTCAATCTGGCTGCCGTTCCTCCGGCACGGTGTGAGTGATTTAGAGATGTGGAAAACTTCTTCCTCGTTTGCATCCGAGTACCACCGATGATGGATGGTGATTGGTGATGTCACCGGCCGAAGTTGTAGAGAGTCTAGCTCCGTCCAAGTTGGTACCCCAAAAACAGTGGCGTCCGCACCACTGTCTATACGGAACCGAACAAGTTTTACATTCACGAGCGGAGTTGCAAGAGCAGGAAAGCTTCGTTTTCCGAACACGGAGTGGTGAATGGTGAACACGATCGAATTCATCTGGTCCGGCCTCGCCTCCGATGACAGACAAGGTTCCTGGATATGACCAATCCGTTGGCAACCTCCGCAGCTGGCCCTCCAGAGAGAACATTCCGATCGGACTTCCAAGACCCTACCTTCATTCCGATTGCATCCCTCTGGGAAGGTTCTGTCCGCGACCGGTTGGTACGGAAAAAAACCCTGCTAACGACGCCGACGTGGCATTCGACAAAGCGGTCAACGAGACTCTCTCCGAAGCCGACGAAGAGGATCACTTCTCCGAAATCGTGAGGTTTTCGAGAACCTCAGGCAAAGTGATTTTTGGCGCACTGTCCGAAGGAACCGTCCGAAGTCGACTGCGCCAATCGTTAGTAGCGGGGATGAGATCGAAGACTGAAGACACGGAGGGAGAGCTTGAGCGACGTTGCCAGTTGCCGGTGACTCGATCGGCTCCGCCGTCACCGAATTTATTGTGAAGAATCCTCCAACGGCGCAACGGTTGAACGCCGCGCCGATACAAACTGGGACCACGCAAATGAGTCGTTCAGGAGGAACTATCTAGGAATCAAGCACTGCCAATAAATATTGTAAGAAGAAATCGAGAACCAGAACAAGGGTCGCTGAGGAGGCAGTATCGTGATACTCTTCCCCAGTGCTGCCCCACGAGACTGATGGCGAGGGGGATATCCCGCGGTGGCTCGCATGCATCACCTCTATTAGTCGCTCTAGGACCAACTCCTCCTCTCATTTCTGTGATGCGGCCAGAGCTTGATCCAGGTCGTCTATGAGGTCCTGAACAGCTTCAATACCGACGGACAAACGGATGAGCGCATCCGAGATACCGAGTCGAGCTCGCAATTCTGCGGGAACGGACGCATGCGTCATGACGGACCTGATCGGTCGGAGGGGAGACAGTGTTTAGTTTCCTGCGTAATCTACGATTTCATTGTCTGATAACAGAAAACGAATGCACGATATTCGAGACGATGAAATAACTCACGGCAGCTCAGCCAGGGACTCCACTGCTCCTAAACTCTCAGCCAAAGTGAAAAGCTTCAGAGCTGACAGCAGTTTTCGGGATTCGGCCAGACCACCCTGAAACCACGAGCTGTTCAATTGGATCATCGATGGAGGATAAGAGCAGGCTATCCATTCGAACATGGCCGAAGAATACCTTGAGGTAGAAGCAGAGCATGCCACTGAAGCCTGAGCATTGTCGCTTCGCTAAGAGGTGCTGGGGATGGGATTCGAGGCCTGGGTGAATGACTTTCTCGACGAGCGGATGCGTTTCTAAGAATTTTGCGACTTTGAGTGCGTTCTCGTGGTGTCTCTGCATTCGGAGAGCGAGAGTCTTGATCCCTCTGTTCACCATATAACAGTCGAAGGGCGACGGAACGGCACCGACAGCTGAAAATATCCTATCTAAGTTTCAGCTCCAATCCTGAGTTCTTCGGTCGTTTTTTGAACCAACTTTGGTGTCGGAGGAAGAAACGTTAGGGAACTCACCGTTCTGGAGGAAGCGAAGCTTTTCGTGCAGCTTCAAATTGTTCGTCATGATACATCCCATCACGATATCCGAATGTCCATTGATGTACTTAGTTATCGAATGTATTACGATGTCAGCACCTTGTTGGAGCGGATTCTGGAGGGGAAAATGCCTTAGTCTGGATTGTGACTGCGAACCGTAGATATTCGAATCGAAGAGAAGTCTCGAGTACACGAGCGGTCTCTGACAGGAGATCAGGCTCCGATGCTTGAAATCAGATAGAAGTGCAGTCTCTAACAATTGGACTCTCCCCAGAGCCGAAAATCTGATATCTAAGTCCGAAATACTGCGAAAGATCTCCGGAAAGGGCTCCAAAAGACTAGGCCGTATGGCGTATCTTTACGATGGATCCCGCGGTGATTGCAGTCAGAGAGAACTTTGCTCTGTCCTCATGTTTGCGGATGGGGAAAGTAGAAGCATCTTACAAACAAGCAGTCGCTTAGGAGCAGGGGCGGGTGTCGGAAGCTCGAAAGATAGACGAGCATGCTCTTGATTCAGAATATCTATCGTAACAAGCAGTCACTTGCCTGAAAGCACGGACTCATGAACGTGTTATCCACTGCCAGGATGGCCTGTGGAGCGCCCTTCTTCACAGCTGCCGAAACGGCAGCTATATCCACGATTTTCATCATGGGGTTCGAGGGGGTTTCGACCCATACCAGCTGTAAGGCGAGAGACGTCCAAGTATTCTCTCAGGACACTGCAAGAGCCTCCAGGATTCCGTCTCGGCAGAGTCCCATGAAAGTCGATTTCTCGTCCATTCATACCTTCGTGTTCGGTTTCAACGCAGCGGCCACGACTTGAGGATCTCGGGCATCTACGAAATCCACTTCGATTCCTTTCGGCATGGCGCATGCTCTGAAGAGACGGCCGACTCCGCCATATAGGTCGTCGAAGGCAACAATATGATCCCCTGTTTCCAACAAATGCACCACATTGTCCGTTGCCGCTAAGCCAGAGGCGTAGCACATAGCGAACTTCGCGTTTTCCAGCGACGCCAGCAGCTCTTCGAGGCAACTGCGGGTAGGATTCCCCGAACGGGAATACTCGAAGCCCTGAAGAGCATTGGAGGAATTTCTTCAGCAGCATTCGATTCAACCTTGCCTTTTCTGGCAGCCTCAGCTGGGGATCGAAGCTCTGAGGGAGGGAAGCCATCGGCTACACAAGGACAGTGTGTCTTTAGCCTCGGATGGGCTTCATTCGAGCGTTCAGAAAAGTAACCTGGGTTCATAAGGATTGACGTCGGGCAGGAAGCCTCGCTAGCGATAGGTTTTTGCTTGAGCTAGGATGACTTGCATGTTCCTGTAGGCAAGGGCGATACAGCGGAATTCGAAAGATAGCGGTGTGTTATCGTGGGTCCCCGCGCTCGGAATGGTCATCGTGAGCAGCCGGGCTGCCGCGGACAGCGAACTTGATTGAGCGATACGAAACGCTGGATCTCACTCTCGTCTCCATGATGGCTATAATCGAGCTCAATGGAGACTAAATACTCGAATTAGAATCTTTAACTCTACCGCATGATCAGCTGGACCCCTCTGTTGGAAAGTTGTCGCCATGGAGATCGGTGGAACGACGGCCCTGGAATTCCATTGCTGTGGATCTTGACCGACGTGGACGACTTTCGTCTCGAAAGAAAGCTCTTGGTCTGTTGCCGGCATTTCTGAAACATACATATAACTATGAGGTGACTCCGCGAACGGCTCGCCATCGAGTATCACGGCTTCGGCGTTGCGATATCGGAGGTTTTCGGAAACCAAGCTACGATCGCGAACATCGGTTGTGCTTCTGGCAATCTTTCCGTCGTGGATGGCGGGAAGGTGCCAGATGAATGGAAAAGCGACCCAAAGAGAGTCTCGCGACAAACCCCTAGTTGGGAAGGCCGGCACTTGATCTGCGCGCAGAATGCGTGCATACAGCTACTACTCACCAAGAAGGCTTGCTTGATTGGAAAATTCCCGGCAAGAGTTGGAGGACGACGCCGCTGTCGAGGCTTAGCGTCTGAGACTCTGCTCTAAATACGGGGACTGTTGGTGTTGTTGAGGAAACACTCTCGAGATGGGAGAGCGTTTCGAACACGTGTTCAAGATTCTGCGCTCGTAGCGCGTTTCATCCGCTGAGCTCTTCGGGATAGCGCTGAGGAGCATTTCTGGTTCCCACCAGGTCCCGCTTAAGTTCCCTGTCGATCATTGTCGCATTGAGTATGTGAGACGCGCTGAGCGCCGACGTACGATGATAGCGTCAATTTTATCAAGAAGTCGCATTGCGGGCTGGGAGCCGGGAGTATCTCCGGAAGCAAGCGAGACAGAGAGCGATCGCCAGCTTCTCGCGGATAATCCTACAAATATAAAGTGACCTGCAGATTCCGATGAGGCCTGCCCTCTTAGATGAAATCTTCCTGTAGGATCGAGACGGGAAACACGGCAGATTCCTCTGTCGCTCGCGTCTGGAAATTCACGATCAGATCCAGCGTCGCCCAGCTCGGGCACCGCTCAGGATTGAACAGCTCTACTAATGAATGTCCCGATTGTCTTGATCGATTTTATGGAAGCATGCTTCCCATATCTCGAAACCTTCGTCGTATATCGCGTAGATTCATCGTAATATTTGAGGCTTCATGGAATGTAAACGACCCCCTTCCCCGTCTCTTGACCTTCGATCCCTCTTTTTTCGTTTTCTTTTCGAAGTTCTATGTTGGGGCTCCGCATTGGACGGAGAAGGAGTGTATCGGGGGTCGCGTCATCGCTTCATCTTGGCAATTCGGGGAGACGTGAAGGAACAGACTCCATGCATGCGCGGGGTTCTCAATTCATGGATATTTCTGTCAACTCTTCCTTCTGAGGGAGGCATTTATTCATCCAATGAGACACTCGCCGATCGGTGTCAGGGAGAACGACCAGCGTGACCCTGCTCTTTTCGGATATAGTAGGTACTAGAGCAGCTCTACACCTTGGGAGCTGGACGAGTTCTATGGTCTGATTTTCTGTCGATCCTCTCGGGAAAGCTGGTCTGTATTTCTTGTTCCGTCGGGTAGGAGTTCGAATGCTCGCCGCTCCAAAACAGCAGGATTGCCCAGTGCCTCTGGATTTTCTATGTTTGGGGCGACCAATGCGGAAAGTTCTCCTTAGGTCACTCAGGACCTGCGTCGAGGAAACCCACACTCGGGCCTCGAGCAGTATAATTCGTTCGATTAAGATAGCGACTATGTAATGAGGCGTAAGCATGAAATAGCTAGCGCCGTCATCGTCTCCCATGTTGAGAGAGTGGCGATTTTATACTTGCACCCCCTTGCGTGAATTCGAAAACGAACCCTTGCACCCCTTGCCAATGCGCTAATTCGAGTCCGCAACGATTAATTGGACAGCATTCTGCGCGCCTGGTGGTGTTCTGAACCGATGAGAAGTAGAACGGTGTTGTGCTTGTCCAGAATTCCATATCATGTCGGAACATCTGCGTCTGGGTTCGATCCCTGCTGCCGGCAGAATGTTCTTTTTGGGAACACAGGTACTCGGCCTTGGTCTTCCCGGATTCAGCCACTCCCAGGATCCGCCCCCGTTAGCAATGAGGAGGAAAGCACCCGGACCTACCGTAAATATTTTAATTCAAGCCCGGGCTCCTGTTATTATACAGGATTCTAGTGGAGACGAGCTTCCATTGGAGAGGGGCTTCCGTTCCAGGCAAGCCCCTCATGACTTTACGTGCGGTTGTGCAATGACGGTGATTGGGAAGAAGAGACTTCGGGAAGCTGTATTTCTCGTGACTTCTGAAACTCGAGGTATGTTCTGGAACGGAGCTCCTCGGAAATGAGATCCGTTACCCTTAAGGGGCTCCTTTCCGGGACCGGCCACCATTGGAAACGGGTTTCTTTCGGAGACAGGCTGCTATTCGACTCGAGGATCCCGCCGAGGGGCTCCTTGTGGAGACGGACTACTATTGGAGGGGGGGCTTGCACTGGAATATTCACGGTATACACCTCTGCTGTGTGGCTCAGCTCGAGACATTCTTCGTCGCTCGATGTAGGCGACATTTGAAGATGTATTCATTCCTCTGATACACCGAACAGTGTCTGTAGAAGAAATCGGAGATGTCCATCAGCCCAGGCCCAAACCCACCTCAGTTTTTTTCTGAAGTCCAGACGGCTTAGCTATATTGGATTCGGACGACATTTCTCTGACGCCAAGACAGTGATTTAGAACAAAGTGCTTCATTCATAGATATATTCTTCCTTGACTTCGTATTCACTCGTGGAATCCTTGATTCATGATGATCTCTCGCTTGCTGATTCTAAAGATGATGTCTACCTCTCTTCGCGACTACATATAAGGTTCGAATTTACTCGTCATACTCAAGTTGATCATATGGGAACAGAACGTCATGCTGTTGTTTTCGCGATGTCTCTCCATCTCTCCACGTTCAAAAGCTCACATTGCGTCCGTGCGGCGCTCGTCTCCCGCTCGATACCCGCATCGTGAATACCAAGGTAGCGCAGAGCAAAGAACTTCGCAAGAAGTTGAACTCCTCCGGCTCTGAGAAACCACCTAACTTCAAACCTGAGTTTTATCGGAATCGTCCACCCCACGACGCCCGATATAGAGTGAGCCCAGAAGTCCAGGCTCCGCCGCCCGCACCTCTCCCGAGCTCGTCAGCGACATTGAGAATGAAATAAACTACTCTACGGAGTCCTTCGGGTATCTTCTGCGCTAGAGAGTCTCGGCTGATCTCGACCGCGGAAACGTTTGGGATCTCGCCACTGTTTGATTCTCGCGAGTCCTCCCAGAGAGGACGCTCCGTCGACAATAACACGGGCCTCGGGCAGATGAGCGAATAAGATTCAAGAGGGATCGCTGGTACAGGGACTCATCGGCCTTAGAGGATCCGCGACGACACGGCGTGTGACTCGCGCAGGGGGTCAAAAATGGAGTTCTTCTCACTCAGTCGTCCTTGGCTTCGTATTCGATTGGTACGCCGGCTTCCCTCGCCATTTCGGCGAATTCGCTCGATGGGTTGCTGAGCAAATCGCGAGGAGGGCCAATTTCCGATATATGTCCGGCAGACATCAACACAACAATATCCGAGTCTAGGATCGTGTTAATTCTATGAGCTATTGTTATAATGGTTGAATCGCTGAAGGCAGATCGAATGGTCTCCTGGATCAGCGCGTCCGTCTCGAGATCAACTGAAGCCGTCGCCTCATCCAGAACGAGAATACGCCTCTTCCTAAGAACCGCCCTAGCAAGACAAACAAGCTGACGCTGTCCGACTGAAATATTTCCTCCACCCTCCGCGATCGGAGTATCCAAGCCATTTTGATTTTCGAAGTACGTCTTCAGATGAGCGCGCTCGAGAGCTTGCCATAAGTCCTCGTCGGTATATTCGTCGTTCGGGTCGAGATTGAAACGCAAGCTCGCGTTAAAAAGCACCGATTCTTGAGGTATAATAGTGAGCCTCGAGCGGAGCTCGTGGAGCCCTATCTTCGAAATGTCGATACCGTCGATGATGATTCTCCCCTTGACGGCCTCGATTATACGGAATATTGTAAGAATTAATGAAGATTTCCCAGCACCCGTTCTTCCGACGACCCCGATTTTCTGTTGGGGTTCGATCGAGAGATTGACATCTTCTAGAATTAGATCTAAACCAGTTCTATAGCGCGTAGAGTAGCTCTCGAAGGCTATCGCACCGCTTTGGGGCCAATCGCTTTCCGGTGGATTGTCGGAGACCCAATCGGCTTCAGGGGGGACATTCGTGTACTCATCCAGGCGCTCGGCTGCGACGATCGTAGCTTCTACTTCCGTCGAGAAATAAACGAAAAAGTTGAAGGCGACTACCGAATTCAGGGAATACGAGATTAAGAGACCGGCGGTGCCAGCATCGAAATATTCTCTGTTGGTGACGACTAAGATGATCATGACAAAGATCAGCAAGTTTCCAAGGAACTCCAAGCGTATAGACATCCAATAGTTGCTGATAGTTACGTGGAAACTGCAGTTTTGTGCGGTGTCGACCTTGTTCCCGTTCATCCTTTGGAAAACTTCAGCCACGCCGAACCCACGGATACTCGACAAACCGTTAATGGTCTCCGAGAAATGACTATAGACAGGCGATCTCGTCACAGCTTCCAGACGTTTGAGTTGTCGCAAACTCCGCACGAATATTTGGCGCAGCGCGACGAACAGAGACATAATTGGGATCGCCACAACGAGGAAAATCGGAATCTGAGTGGAAATCAATACGATGACGCCAATGATTTGGAAGAACATTTCCAACATGAAGTTCGCCATCAGAGGGAGCTGCACATCCAATTGATCCAGGTCTTTGCCGAATCGGTTGAGTAATCGTCCCATCGGTGTGGTGTCGAAAAACGATAGTGGTGCTCGCATGACAGAACGGAGCATTTCTTTATGCAATTCCGTCGCAGCGGTGATAGTGGCTTTCGTAAGGAATGCAACTCCGCAGAAGTTCGATATACCCTGACAAACACCGATCACTGCATAGATACCTAAGCGATAATTTCTGTTTCCCGCGCTCAGATCCTTGTCCTCGGACCAGGCCGATAGCCACAAGCCACTAACGATGTCGAGTGTGCGGAAACCTATGTAGAAACTCAGTGCGAGGAAAGTCAGAGCGAAACCGACATGCATGAAGTAGTTCTTGTAAACACTCCATTTGATGATGCCCGTTTCTACAGTTTCCTTAGCGACTAGTTGAAATCGCTCGAGGTGCTGTTGTTCAGCGTCTCCGGCGATGGAGTCAGCTATGGACATGGATCTCGCGATCTCACTCCCGAACGACATGGCTCGACGCCGCGGTGTCTCGGAATCTCCATCTTTAGAGGCAACTGCAGCGGCGCGTTCTTCTCGTACGCGACGGCTCTCATCGATATCGAACTCCTTCAAAAGTTCCGCCAGAACCCCTCCGGAATTCATCAAATCCGCATAGGTGCCCCGTTCGACTATTTCACCTTCTTTCAAAACGACAATGTAGTCCACATCCGGTATCACCGACAAATTATTCGTGACCAAAACCCGCGTCTTCTTACGCAACATGCCTCCTGAACTCATCAGACTGTTGAAGATCGATTTCCCCACGTGAGCATCGAGAGCGCTGAGAGGATCGTCGAATAGATAGATATCTTTGTTTTGATAGGCCGCCCTTGCCAATGCCACACGCTGCCTCTGGCCACCGCTGAGGTTGATACCTTTCTCGCCGATCTCTGTCTGATCTCCCCCGGGGAGTATGCCAAGATCGGGCCGGAGACAGCACGCGTCGAGCACCTTCTCGTACTTGCGTCTCTCGAACTCGCTTGTGAAGATTATGTTCTCCTTGATTGTCAGGTTTTGGATCCAGGCTTGCTGAGGAACATAGGCAATGGAGCCCGATATGTCTATTCTGCCCTCAGAGACGCTAAGATCCCCCAACATGCTAGAGAGCACCGACGATTTCCCGCTGCCCACCGGTCCGACGATTGCGAGCAATTTGCCGTTCGGGACATTCAGGTTGAAACCTGCGAGAGTCGGCAGCAAACTATCGCCGCCCCAAGTTGCGGTTACGTTCCTCATGGTGATCGCATCCCCGTCCTGGGGGTTGGATCCGATGATTCGCGGATTCATCTCTTCGCACATGAGGAATTTCCAGATCCGTCCGAAAGAGACTGCGGTTTGGGTCGCGTTCGATATGAAGTCAGGGATCGTGACCATTGAAAAACGCATCTGGTAAAACAAAGTCAGAGAGACGAAAGCCACAGTTGGTGTGAGAATGTTGTCCGGGGACACCAACACGAAGGTCATGAATGACATCAAACCGACGAGGAATGGTGTACACGTCCAAAAGAATCCGATGCCGGCAGTCATGTAAGCGAACCTCTTCAACATGGACACCTCTTTCTCGCGCACACTCTCAACGCGCGCTGTGAAGGGGGGCTCCCAAGCGAAGAGTTTAAGAATTTTGATGCTGCTGATGATTTCGTTCATTGATTTCAGTCTACCGTCTTTCAATTTCATCTGCCTCTCCTGGAGTTGGCGATTCTTAGCAGCCAGGAAGCCAGACAGCGGCATCATGAGAACGATGACCGCCACTCCCGCGAGGCAAGACGGCCCGAGGTATTGCCACAGAAGTATAATGGTCAAGATGATCGTCATCGGAGCGGCGACCGTCATCGAAGAGCTCGTGCTTAGTCGGAGTACTTTATCGGCGTCAATGGAGACGAGGTTCACAAGCTCGCCCACGGTGTACCGACCCTGAGATTTGGCGGAAATTCTCAGAGCTTTCTGATAGATAGCTGCCATGAGAACCCCCTTGATTTTGATGCCCATTGCTGCCAGCACATAATCGGAATGCCGGAAGCAAAACGACGCCACTGTATTGAGCGAGAACAAGAGTACGGCGTAGGAGATCCCTTTCCATAGCGGCTGCGACTCATCCTCCATGAAACTTGTGACCAAATTCAAAACCAATGCGGGACTGGTCCTCACGAAGGATCGAATCAGAATTATGATGAAGGCCGTTGTGAGACTTGGCCAGAAGGTGGCGATCAGCGTTTTGAACAATGAAGGCGCGAATTTCGGATCGAAGCTCCCGTCTTCAGGATTGTACTTGGCTCGCCGCAATTCTTCGTCCCAGCTGCTCACCCAAGATTTGTAGCTTGTACTTGACTTGAGGTACGGCAGAGGATCGTATAGATCCTCCTCTGTGATGTAGCGTTTATATCCTCGGATGATAAACGACGTCATCCACTCGAATACGAGGGCGGATAAAGGCGGGGCGGTCATTAAGGGTGAGGGATTCGGAGCCCGTTTGCCTTTCGGAATCGGCCAAATGTCTGCGAAGCAGTTCAGGACGAAAGATGTTACGATCAGGGGATAGATTATCGCGGTCAGTACGAAACTTTTGACAGAAACTTGATCATCCATCAGTGTGGGACCGCCGAAAGCGTACAGCATCACCCTGTAGTATTTCGGCAAGGTCGCGAGCATTTCGATGAGCCAATAGGTCCATATGATGGCAGATGATGTCTTCCCCGCTTTTCGGTTCATGTACTGCAGGACCATGACGAGGACACACGACGTACACTTTATCACATCCGATAGAATTCCGGCTAGAGGAATATTCTGCGGTCCTTGCAGAGCATCCCACGCTGCTGACCACAAGAAGCACATTGCCATGATCAACACCACAACCGTTTTAGAGATGTTGAACAATGTCAAAGGGGCAGGCACGCACTTCGGTCGCTCTCGGCGGAAGTTCGAGCAAGATGCAGAGAGCCAGAGAAAAGCGGCTCCGATATAAGTGAGGGTTGTCCATTCGAAGCACTCCGTGAAGCGAGGATAGAGCGTGTACCACGTCCTTTGTGAATCCCAAAAAACTTCGCCGCCGCAGAATCCTTGATCCGGATCCGCCATTATGTTACAAGCTGATTTACCCTCCTCTGATAGAGATGCTCCGAGCACATCGAGGAGAGCTCACGGCCTGGAAAGGAAAACTTGCTCAATCGAATCGCATTCTTTGTCGAAATTGGAGAGGAGTCTTTGCCTAAATAGCGATAGTGCGACTAAGGACAAGGTTCGCTCGCTCACTGATATCCCGCCCTCAACTACGATGACTTGCTGAATGTCCTAGCGTAGAGGGTATTACACCCGATTATCTCCACCATTGATCGCAGTTCAATTCGCCGTCAAGGAACAAATGATTTCGCTAGGGCACTTCGAGCATCCACGTTTTGCTGTATACCTCACGTGGATTACTTCCGGCAAACACAGCGGTGCCGGCGAGGCTAGCCGAAACGGCTCTCGGCTCGTATCTCGGGAACGGCTGAAGGGGATTCCATCCCCTCGATTCCAACTTCAGTCTTTTCATTCAGAATTCGTATGAGAACCTCCCTTCCGTTCTCGGGTGCCGGGAGGAATCACGTCCTCACAAGCCGCTGAGAGCTGACGCACGATGCGGTCCGGAACGCCGAAGCCCCCCTTGCCGCGCCTCAAGGCGAGCGGATCCTCATGATTCATGATCGATGAAATTTCGGCCACTTCCCGCTCCTCTTATTCACAGGCTGAGGTACGGATCCTCAGCTGATGATCCCATCGTCTCATCAATAATATCTGGATGGCCATCAAGCGATTTGCTCCACGCATCCGGAATCCGCGTGCTTCGGGAGCGGTGGCATGTTTGAGGGTAGTATCCTGCTCTCGAGCGTTCTCAGAGCTACCAGCGCCAGCGTCTCTCGAGGTCCCGAGACAGATCACAGAGCGATCATGGGGAAGGTCTTGATTCGAAGCTAGCGAGGAGAGCGCAGTCCCTCTCTGGCTTCGATTCCAGCTGCTTACAAATCTTATATCTCAACTTCCAAGGGAAATCAAAGATTACTTGCGGATTTCCGAGCTCTATAGGAATCAAATCCGAAACCCGGTATCGCGGAGCCATGACTTCCTATGAGTCATGAAGACAGAAAGGAAAATCATGGAACGAATTCCCATGGGTCGATTGACCTGTACTTTCTCGAGTGAGTGACTGTACAACGGCGTCCCATGCCTTGCTCCAAGATCGAATATCCGAGAATTTCGCTGTGCCAATTCCAAATCGTCCTGCATCTTCGAGGAAGCGCAAACGAGCAGCGCGATTGGCCGCGCGCCAAACACAATTGTCATCATTCTGCCATCAGAGGCATAGATTGACGACATCAACTCATGGAGCAGATCTTCATTACGATCCGTCGGTTCGACGTTTGGCTGTGCCTGGCGCCGGAAATTCTGAGCATAGGCGATCCGGGAGATCAGACATTCAAAGAATGAATTGGGTGAAACCGGCCCCAAAAACTTGGTTGCGCCACTATAACCATTCGTGGGCTTGAATCCGCCAGGCTCTGAGGGGACTGGGGAAAGCAGTTGATTCTATCGGAATCCTTCCCGGCAGAGTCAAGATCTCGGGTCAAAGAGATTCCGAGAATCGAGAAGTGTCGCCTAACCCTCGGCGAGTCGCAATCTGACGAGCTGATTCGTTTTGAGTCGATCGAGACGTGACCCGAATCCGATCGGTTAGGAGATCTACGACCACTGCTCTTCGTGAGAGCTCCCAAATTGGCTCCCGAATTCGAGTCCAGCGGGTTAATGCACGGCTGGAGTGATTCGCTGCTTGGAGCGAACTCCTAGGTCCTAGATAGACCAGCGGAGGGGTAAGCGGAAACGTATGCTCGGCCCATCGGAGGGCAAAGAAAGCGCCTATGTATCCGATCGGGAAAGCTGTGAGCAGGTTTCCATCGCCGCCGTCGCATACCTCTTTTCGAAGTCTGCAACTCTACCTCAGGTGACTATTTTCTCGCCCCATGAGCGTGAGGGCGGAGCGCCACGGTCTCGATTGTGGGTCTGTAGACTGCCCTTCGAAGGTTTTCCTTCCGAAATATTGAGTGAGGACGCGGTGACCAATCTCGGCTAGAGCTTCACCCTCGCTCCGGAATCATATCTGATGTGCGTCGACTCGTGATGAAAGTCGAATCGAAAGAGCCAAGGACTCACCAGCTGCGGATAGTGGAGGCACCTCCCTCGCTGAACCCCTGGAAGCATTAACTGGCAGGTTTTCTGACGACAGAGTCACGATTCAGTCCGCAGCAAGTCCCCTCGTCGCTTCAAGTTCGTTTCTCGGCGGATTGCCCTCGCCGGTTCCCGCAGCGGCGACATCGAGCAACAATATTTACCATTGCCACTTACTCTCTTTCCAGAAAAGTGAGGACTTTCCCGAAGCTTTGAAACTGTGTTGTGCATGCGGATGAGCCGATAATCCGAGACTCGTGGCTTCGAGTACTGCGATGAACCCAGCTGCACGAAAGCCGCGTTGAAGATCGGAGAACTTGAACCGATCAAAAGTCGTGCGATATGGAGTGCGTCAACTCATAGCCCGGATGCATTCGCTGAGAACTTCCAGACCTCAAACGAATCGCAAGAGATCTGATCCCTCGGGCCCCGTTCGCCTGCGAGCGAGACCCTTATGGAGCTCATCATTGACAATCTTGAATCTCCGAGCGGGAGCCCTCGATGAAGACAACACTCTCGACTCATCAAGAATGTCCCTGGAGCGCTTCGAATCATGGCTAGAGTTCATGATGGATGGAAGCTCTCTTGTTAGCTCGTACTCCGAACCATACGATCGGGAACTATCAGAGTCGGTTTCCAGAACCAGGAGGCTGTCGGAAATCGAGGGAATTGAGGGAAAATCTGCCGCGTAGTGCAATAATGAGACAGAAGCTCTCTCGATTCCTCAAGTACTCAAAGAGGGAATTACACAGGAGGATTGATGGAGGCGTGTCTTCCCACGCCTATGTATACAAGCATCAACGAGCTCAACTCATGAGGCGCTCGACGCCGTGTGAAAGCAGATGCGAGCCACCAGCTCTCTCGCACTGATTTCTGCCAAAAATTGATCGCAGAACATAATTTTTCAAGAGAAAAACGAGATTATTTCGGGTCTCTAGATCCTTAGTGGATAGTTCACCGCGAGAGCCATGGCGGCCGTGATGTGGATCAGAGCGTGGCTCTTCTTTCTGTTCGGGAGAAGCCTTCGGGAGACGAGGCCAAAGCTCAAAAATTGCAGTCGCTTGCTTCTTCGTGGAGCTGGGGATGAGTGATGTGCACGATCGGCTCGGAATCTCCCTCCCAGGACCGAGATGCCTCTCCAAGAGTAGAGGTCCCGTCGAGTAGATTAGATGGAGATTGCCAACGCATTCCCCGCATGAGAAAATCATTCCAGTTCTGGTGGATTTCCCAGTCGATCGCCCCCGCCACGAGAGCGAATGACGAGGGCGCATAGAGCTTGAGTTTCGAGAAAACAGCGCTCCGGTGAGTGGTCCGTGATTCTCTGTGCGGCTCAGAAGAGGGACCGGCCCAGCAGCCCGTCGAACCAGCAACATTTCTGCGGAGTAGCGTTTTTCCGAGCATGAGAAGAGATCTCCCGGAGAGTTTCACTCTGTGCGAGATAGAGTCAAAGATTCAAGTTCGCCGATTGCTTCCAGGCGCATCGATTCCGTGATGAATGAGACCGAATGATGCTCACCAGTACACTTTGGGCATATAATATGGTATCGACACCCCGAGAGTAGAATTTCTCGAGGAAGTCTGGTATGGAAACGCCCCAAAAGTGCTCGGGTCGGTAGTTTGAAGAAATCCAAATCCGTTCATACAGATCCCCTCCCCAGCTTCGCGTGGGGAATTCTCTCGCCTCGAACTCCTCGGGAGGGAGTCCAATCAGTTCGGGCCAATGGGCTATAATCGTCCCCGTTGCTAGTTGAAGCGGTATCTTGTGGTGCTGCTGTGGAGATCACCCCAGAGAGACGGGTCCATTGACATACAGTAGAACCTCGTTATGACGGACTCCAAGGGACCGTGGAAAATGGTCCGTTATAAGCGGGTGTCCGTTGTATCCGATCAGATTAACATGGGAGGTATTGCGATCAGGGGTGGCGCCCTCAGCGTGCTATAAGCGGGTGTCCGCTATGTCCGGGTCCGTTATAACGAGGTTCTACTGTATTCGAAGTCTCGCCTCGAAGCTCGCTCTCAAGCTCGCCGTGAGCTCTCCGGGATGACTATCGAGACGATGTATCCTAAGACTCAGAGGAAAGGCTCCTGGATTCAACGTCATCCAGCACGGACAATGAAAATCGGGCATGGTGCAGTATTTGTGTATATTACATGGCTCAGCTCGATGGGTTCCGAGTTTCTGCTGAGAGAGTGTTTTCTAATCGACTCTCCGGATTCCGGAGCGAAGAGTCGGAACCGCAAAGCCGGGAAGACGGCCCGATCCCGCTCGAAGTCCCAGCAAAGATCACCGACACCATTGAATTCACTCTCCCGACAACAGATTCCATTTTCACACCGAGGTTTTGTCCCGCGATCTGTCATCGGTTGTACGAGATCGCTTCCATCCGTGCGTGCTTCCGGGAAGAACCTTCGGAGAGCGTTTTCGCGAGCAGGCCGAGTTCGAGGTCTAATTTACGTTCCAGTGAGCCAGTGTGATATGTGAACGCTCCATGACATTCGACGCGATTCTGACACATCATGTTCGGAAAATGTGCGCGTTCATAGTCCCCGTGATTTGAGCCGCTCGGCCAGGACGAATGAGAGAGCACACATATAGCAATACTGGATCTCGGGTGTGATATTGAAAAGAGAGTCTCGCTCCAACACTGGATATACGTGCGATGATGAAGCAAGGGCCGCATCACACTGAATATTGTTGACCTTAGCTTAAACTGGTCTCGAGCTTCTCGTTCGAGCTCCGCACTGGGTCCGGAGCGAAGCTCCTCCGAATGTGAATCGTAGAGAGATGGTCAGAGGGAGATGTAGGAGAGCAATAGACGGCAATTCGCCGGTGACGACAAGCCCGTTTCC